AGAGATTACTTAAAAATAAAAAATCTTTAAAAAGAAAAAAAAAAAAAGAAGTAAAGACAAAACTTAGGTTTCAAGGAAGATTACAAGTTAAGTAGGCAGACGAGAGAATAAGAGCCTTCCACACAGAAGGTTCAGCATGTGCAAAGAGCCTATAGCAGAAGGAAAGATGGTGTGTTCAAGATCTACGTCCAAAGCTAAAAGATCATGGTTCAATATGAGGCTGGAAACTAGGAGGGGCCAGGCCTTGTAAGACTTGCAGTCCTCATAAGGGCAGCCTTAACAAGGAAAGATCAACAAACCAATCATACTTTGATCATTTTGAAAAATGGGAGTAAACTGGAGGACTCCATCACACAAACTCTATGTACAATGACACCCAGAGTACTTCAATATGCAGCGCACACACCCTCATTCCTTGGAACATTATGTGTACACACCTATGTCTCCATAAATAGATTACAAAATCCTTTGGGTCTCGGGGCTCTGTCTCATTCATCTTTTCATTCCTCTTTCATAGTATCTAGCACAGTGCTGGGAACATAGAAAATGTTTAACAAATGTTTCCTAAAACTTTAAAACATAAATAAATAGGGGTCCCTGGGTGGTTCAGTCTGTTAAGCATCTGCTTTCCTGCTCAGGTCAGGATCCCAGGGTCCTCTGGGACCGAGCCCCAAATCCGGCTCTTTGCTCAGCAGGGGCATCTGCTTCTCCCTCTGCCCCCTGCTTGTGTGCGTGCTCGCTCTCTCACTTGCTCGCTCACTCTCTCAATAAAATATTAAAAAATAAATAAATAAATCGGGGCGCCTGGGTGGCTCAGTTGGTTAAGCAACTGCCTTTGGCTCAGGTCATCATCCCAGGGTCCTGGGATTGAGCCCTGCATTGGGCTCTCTGCTCAGCAGGGAGCCTGCTTTCTCCTCTCTCTCTCTGCCTGCCTCTCTGCCTACTTGTGATCTCTGTCTGTCAAATAAATAAATAAAACCTTAATAAATAAATAAATCAAATAAATAAATAAATAAATAAATAAATAAATAAAACATGACTAAATAGTCCACTCACAAATAGTCTGTCAGAAGTGATCTCCTAGGAGAAAATTCTACAGACTCATTTGGAAAGCCATTCCAATGATAGCAACCTTCTTAAATAAGAAAGCCTTGCTGTAAAACATCGTTCCTTTCCTGACTGTAGCAGTTCTTGAGTTTCATCCTCAGTGGAGACGGAGAACCGTCCATCACATTTCCAAAGAATGCCTTTGGTGTACACTTTGAAGATCATTACTGGGTCACCCAGCTCTCTATTCTTTCAGTGGCAAAAGACTTCATCTTCTCACCTTTCCTCAAAGAAACCATGTAGTTGTTCCCTGGACTCATTCCAAAATCTCCATCCCTCCTTGATTGTGGAGGCCAGCGATCTAGGAGCCCACGAAACAAGGTCAAAGACGCCTAAAGGGCTCTGTGAGCAGTAGTCCACAGAGGACAGCAGGCTCGTTTTCTCAGGTTGCTTGTCTTCAGGCCAACTCACATGTGCACACACACAAACACAAAAACTTTTCACCAGTTTAAAGAAAAAACAGTTTACTAGGTGAATTTGCCAACTGTCCGCTGTTCTTCACCACCAGCCCCAACTTACCCGTCTGATTTGACATATTTTTTTGTGTGAGGGGAACACTTTCCCTAATTTTACAAATAATATGACACCAGAAATGAGCAGCACTATTTTGCTGGCATTCCCACTATCTTCTTCATGTGTGAAGGCACCACACCGACTAAAATATCACCAAGAAATTCCATCACTCCAGTGTATCAAGAATTCAAAAACAGTAAGTCACTGGTCATTCTACAAATAATGAGGCTCTAATAACATAAACAGCTACTGTGCTTTTTTTTTTTAAGATTTTTTATTTATATATTTGACAGAGATCACAAGTAAGAAGAGAGGCAGGCAGAGAGATAGAGGGAAGCAGGCTCCCCACGGAGCAGAGAGCCCGATGCAGGACTCGATCCCCGGACCCTGGGATTATGACTTGAGTGAAGGCAGAGGCTTTAACCCACTGAACCACCCCGCTGTTTTAACCACTGAACAGGCACCCCGCTGTTGTGCTTTTTTAAAAAATGTTTTTTTGGCACTTAGGTGAAAACTCTTCAATTTTACTTCAAAAAATACTGTTAAATTCTAATATTGCAATAACTTTTCATCTCTTGTCAAAGAAACAAAAATCCCAGTTATTGTAGCCACTATAGAAGTCTACATTATGCCATTTAAACAAGATCATGTGTAAGATACTTATTGAACTGTAAGTGCTCACAAAAATTATGTATTATTTTTACACAGAAAAAAATAGGAAGGTTGTGTATATAATGCAAATACAGATAACTCCTGAATTTAAATTAGACCATTTTATTAAATCAACAAATCCCACTTTCAGAAAAACTAATGAAATATATTTATTCTAAAAATGTGCACTGTTTGGGGTGTCTGGGTGGCTCAGCAGGTTAAGCCAATTGAGTGTCTGCCTTTGGATCAAGTCATGATCCCAGGGTCCTAGGATCAAGCCCCACATCTGGCTCCCTGATCAGTGGGGAGCCTGCATCTCTCTCTGCCTATAGCTCCCCCTGCTTGTGCTCTCTATCAAATAAATAAATAAAATCTTTAAAAATAAAAATAAAAAATAAAAATCTACATTGTTTAAATAACTCCCAAAATTATTAGCATGCAATATTTTACATTTTTAAGACAATACATAACAACACTCTTAACAAGAACTTATACATGCATTAATCTCAATCATTTATCGGAGTAAATTGAGGAAAGAATAGGAATATTAAAAAAATATAGATTGTTTTGTTTGTGGTTAGAAGAGTAAAGCATTAGTGAAGTGATGGTGTAGATGAACTCAAAAGTTTTAGTCAGACAGTTCAGGGACTACACTGCTGTATAATTAGTATTTCTAAGAATTCACAACAAAAAATCACTACCAAAAATAGGCACCTACAAAATAAACATCAACAAGATCTCAGTCACATAAGTCAAAAATGTTTTAAAGATGAGGAATGTCTTTGCTTTATCAAATACACAAATGACCTAAGCAAGCATTGCAAAGGGGATAGAATGCACTTTTAGGATGAATTCAGGATCCAAAATATCTTTATTTTAATAATGCAAATGCTTGGTGTTCACTGAATTAAATAGTAGTAATAATTTGTTTACAGAAAATTAGTATCTGCATAATAAGTATTATCTAAATAGGTTTTAGGAACTCTTTAGGAGAAGTCTGAGTCCAATTTTGAATCTAAAACCCATTTGTCATGTATAATCTGTTTAAATTGATGATATTCAGTAAGGAAACACACCACGGCTGCCGTCATTGGTTAAGAACACATTACACAAGCTCTGAGTGACCTAGAGGGAAAAGAACTTCCCAAGGTCACTCCAGCAGCCCACAACACAGCCCGGGATAAAGGCGTCTTGGGGCGACGACCAAAGGTTTCCTAAAGCACACACCTCCACAGTTTCTGTTCCAAAGAAAGATCAAGGTGATTCACTTTTTCGTGATCTCGCTAGCACCCAGCAGCTGTGGAGAGATGCTTTCATTTACAGCACATGGGCAGTACAAAAACTAAGGACCCACCTCCTGTGTCAAGGTGAAAGAGATCTAAGCATTCCGTGTAAGCGGCGACCGTCAGCACACAGAACACTCACCAGAAGCACGCGGAAGGAAACCATCACTAAGAAAACAAACACGAAGGGCAGTACCACCCAGACCCCGGGACTGAGTGCCTGCCTTGGCTTACTCTGATTTAACCAGATCTGGGCAGTCCTTGCCTCGTTACCCGAAGCAAAGAATAGGTCCCAAGTGACACCAAACTTCGTGCTCAAAGTGTCTTGCATTTGACCAGAGCTCGCGGGACTCTCTCAAGACCTAGACAGAGAAGTGTTCGAAATAGGGCAGAAATCGCAGAGACCACGGACTGTCCGCCAAGTCCACCATGTGCCGGGCCCCTGGTTACTCAAACTCAAGCATACGACTTGAAGACGTGTCTCCACGCACAGAAAGTGCAACTAGAAACACTTTTCAGTCCAATTCAGTATCCCTGCCCTAAGCCAGGTCTGCAGCAACTCGCGTCCGCACGCACGAACTTGCAGAGGGCGCGGAGCCTCCCGGCCTCGAAGACTGGGGGCGCGGGGGGCTGCGGGAGAAGGACGCAGCCGCAGCGCGCCGCCCCGGCCGGAGAGAGGCGCGCAGGGACGCGACTCGCCGCTCCGGCTCGTGGGGGCAGCGCTCGGCTCGCGGACCCCAGCGCGGCGCACCGGGCCTTCTCCCCGGCCTGCCCACACCCCCCGCCGCCGCCCCGAGACCGCCTCCTACCTGTCTGAGGATGAAGCTTGTCGAAGTGGTGCTGCCATCGGATCTTTTCAACCTGCTCCTCCGGGTCGTGGTGCCTCGGGCCACCTGGACTCGACACACGGGGCCAGAGAGAAGCCGGTGAGGACCGAAACGTGGAGCCGGGCGACCACCCCGGGCTAGTCAGACCCCAGCTCGCCGGGGTCTCCCAGAGCCCGCACCCCGGTCTCCTCCGTGGTCCCCACATACAGCCCCCACCCCCACCCACCCAGCACAAGCCTCGACGGCTGAAAAGATGCCCGGGAAGAGCAGCCCGCGAGCACCCACCACATCCATTAACAAAGACTCTTGGGGTGCGGGGTCCGAGTCCCCGGCATCGGCTGGGGAAGGCTGCGGGCTCCAGAGAGGGAGGGCTGAGACCGACGAGGTGAGGAGGTGGAGGAGGAGGAGGAGGAGGAGGAAGGGGAGGAGAAGACAGAGGAGGAGCTGGAGGAGAGACGGACGCGGAGGAGGGGTGGCAGCGCGGGGCGACAGACTCCCAGGACTGGGGGCCCCGCGCGGCCAGCTGGAAGGCGGGGCGCTCTCGGGCCGCCGGGGCGGGGGGAGGAGGGCGGGGGGAGGAGGGGGCGGTACCTGAGCGGTGGGGGAGTGCGGCGCGTCCGCCGGCCCGTTCTTGGCGTAGGAGGAGGACATGGTTCAGGGCCGCATGGCGGGTCGGTGCAAGGCGCGCGGTGGGCGGTGCGCGGGGGGCGGGGGGCGGTGCGCGGCGGGCTGGCAGGCCCCGGAGGCTCGTGAGCCGGAGGAGAGGAGGGCGGCAGGACTTCTCCGCGGGGCTGCGGGACCCGCGCCGGCTCAGGGCTCCCTGCCCGCACTTCGGAGAGCGCGGCACCTTAAAGGGACCTAGGCGCTCCCGCAGCGGGGTCCCGAGCAGCGGCCCCCGCAGACGGAGGTCCCGCGGAGGGGGCTTCTGGGGATCTCGCCTACCCGCGCTGATCGGAGAAGCGCTCCCCCCCAGCGAGCGCCTTACATCAGAGCTTTCTAGAGGATGAAGGGAGGGGGAAAATCTGGGATGGGGGTGGGAGGATTAAAATAGTCTGCACAGTTTCAAATGAGACAAAGGTGGCACGGTTCACGAATCAGGACTTGGGGAGGGACGCTGCTGCAGTGTGGCAGGGAGTGAGAAGAGCGGACCGGGCGTGTGTGTGTCTGTGTGTGTGAGCGCGTGTGTGTTTGGTGCACTGGAATTTTAAAAGGGCAAGAGCAGAACCTTCCTTCCGCAACTTCACTCATCAGCCCACTGTGGTAAGGCATGTGGGTTTGTGGTTTGTTTTCTGTGCGTGTTTTTGTATTGTTTTGTCAACTATAGCTTCACAACCCCCGAGCCGTACACATCCAGGCGGCCGCGGGAGACCCTGCCAGCCTGAGTCTGACGGGAGATGAAGCCCCGCAGGAGATTAGCGTGTCCTAGGGAGTTTTGAAGGTCATGTTCGACCTGCTAAAAAGCAAGAGTTGGCCACGTGCCTCCCATTTCTACGCGGATAGCTGTTTTCAAGGGAGGAAACTCATCCTTAAAACCGTACACAACCCGTGCCATTGTTGCAACGCTTGCTTTCCTCCCGCACATACAAGAGATTAATTTGAAGTCAAATTAAATGCAAACTGTGGAGAAGAGGAATTTGAAGTACTAAGAAGAGGGAAGCAAAATATATGAGAATTCAAAACTAAGGAGACCCGTTTATAGTTATTGCATGGGAAACCCGTCAATAAAATGTACATAGTATCTCAAACTCCTAAATCAGCCCATGTCACCACACATTCTAGTATTATTTTTGATGGAAACTGCCATGTTTGTCTTGACAATTGGCTGCTTATCGAGGTCCTGATTTATATTTTATCACCCACCAAACACTTCCTTTCCATTCCTGCCTTCTTCACTTAATCCACACCTTCATTTCTTTGTAAGTCTAATAAGTAGTCTTTTTGCCTCAGGGCTCTGCCTGTGCGAGCTTGTGCGTGCGCACACACACGCACATGCACACACACACACACACACACACACACATTCATTCCAACTACACACTACAGGCAAAGTCATTTTCCTAAAATCTCTTGGCCGAAGTCATTTTTCTCTAAAAAGCACTCCTTGCTCTCAGCAGCCGGCAAGACAGGGTCCAACAACCAAGCCCCTCCTCTCCCCGCTGCTTTTCTGGTCACCACTCCATTTCTCACTTAAATCTTTGCACAGACCTTCCAGCAAGCAGGCAGGTCTACTCATTATTGCTCAAACAGACCAAATTCAATCCCACTTCAGCGCTTCTGCCTTGGAATGTGTCCTCCCTCCAGGTCACCCACCCAGTGGAATCCTACCTTTTCCCCCAAACTTACTTCTGCCAACGCTTCCTACACACAAACCCACCTTGATCACTCCAGTCCTGGAGAGTTTCCATGCCTATGAAAAACTGGAGTACTTATTCCCTGGACATTTAGTATAGACTGCCTTGGTTTATTCTCTTTTTATGAAAATTGCCTAATTTCCAAAATGGATGTTTAGCTTTTTATCTTGTATTTTTATACCTTACATATAGTAGATATTTTCTAAAGTTTATGAGTAGTGGTATGTCTGCTAATGCAGAACTCCTTGCTTTAGTTGCCATCGACTCAGTCCATTTTTAGCTCTGAGCCATTTTAATAGCTGATATTTCATCAATATATAGAGAGAATGAATTATCATGTGGGCACCAAAATTTGTGTTTTCTCGTTTTCCACTGCCCACAGTCACTGACTTTGAGTTATGAAAAAAGAACCTACAGCAGCTTGACAGTGAAGAGCTCTCTGCATCTACCCTCCAGCAACACTGGTGAAGATGGCTATTTTTCTTTAATTTAAATCTCTGGAATGCTCCTAAGGGTACACAACAAATAAAGAAACATTTATTCAAGAAAATTCACTAAAACTCAGACAGAAAAGTGAAAGTCTGTGGTATTTGACCAGGATCCACTCCCTCCTCCCCTGCTTCCATCCCGCTCAGCGACAGAGAAACTCCATTCCACACTGGTGCACCATGGAACACAGCCTTTCCTCTCTCATCAGCTCCAGTGGGAGGGTTCTCTTCCTTGGAGGGACAGGACATCAGCATTTATCATCCTACCCCACATCCTTGTTGCTGAGGTTAAATTCCCATCAAATACAGAGGAGAGGAATGGGCTCCCTGCTTTGGCCCAGCCCCCCAACTCGTGGGATGGAGGCTCTACCTTTGGCATGGTGCCACTGAGAATACCAGGGCCCTGACTGCTCACAAAGAGGCAAGCCTGGAGATCGGGGATGCTTGCCTCTCCCTACCAAGTGCTCAGCTCCTAAAGTGAGGGTGTCACTCAAAGAGAGGTACACCATTGTCCCTGCCCCCAGCACCAGACCTGAAAGAATGATGTTGGACCCTTACTTCATATACATACAAGAATTAACTCAAAATGGACCAAGGATGGATATGAAAGAGGTAAAAATGTAAAACTATTGGAAGGAAATGTAAGGGTAAGTCTTCATGACTCAGATTTGGCAGTGGATTCTTAGATATGACACCAAAAGTATAAATAAATAGATAGATAGGTAGGACTTCACCAGAATTAAAAACACTATCAAGAAAGTGAAGACAGGGGTGCTTGGGTGGCTCAGTGGGTTAAGCCTCTGCCTTTGGCTCAGGTCATGATCTCAGAGTCCTGGGATCCGAGCCCTGCATCGAGCTCTCTGCTCAGTAGGGAGCCTGCTTCCCCTTCTCTCTCTGCCTGCCTCTCTGCCTACTTGTGATCTCTCTCTCTGTCAAATAAATAAATAAAATCTTTGGGGGGGAAAAAAAAGAAGGAAAGTGAAGGCAACCCACAGAATGGGAGAAAATATTTGCAAAGTGTATAACAGATGAGGTACTCCTATCTATAATATTATGTAAGGAAATCTTACAACTCAGTAATAAAAAAAAATCCAATTTTAAAAATGGGCAAAGAAGGGTGCCTGCTGGGTGGCTTAGTCATTTAAGCATCTGAGTCTTGATTTTGGCTTAGGTCTTGATATTGGGGTAGTGGGATCAAGCCATACATGGACCTCTACACTCAGCTAATCGTCTGCTGGAGATTCTCTCTCTCCCTCCCCCCTGCCCCTACTCCACTCCATCCCATCAATACCCTTGAGCACTCTAATTAATTAATTAATTAAGAATGGGCAGGGGCACCTGGGTGGCTCAGTGGGTTAAGCCTCTGCCTTCAGCTCAGGTCATGATCCCCGGGTCCTGGGATCGAGCCCCACATTGGCTCTCTGCTCAGCAAGGGAGCCTGCTTCCCCCCTCACTCTGCCTGCCTCTCTGCCTACTTGTGATCCCTCCCTCTGTCAAATAAATAAATAAAATCTTTTTAAAAAATGGGCAAAGAATCCGAATTAACATTTCTCCAAAAAAGATATCCAAATGACTGATAAGCTCATGAAACAATGCTTGACATCATTAGTCATCAGGGGAATGAAAATCAAAATCACGAGACACCACTTTACATCCACTAGGATAGCTATAATCAAAAACAAGTGTTGGCAAAGACACAAAGAAATTGGAACTATATTACACTGCTGATGGGATTATGAAACAGTACAGCCACCGTGGAAAACACTTTTGACAGTTCTTCAAAAAGTAAAACACTGAGTTACCATATGATGCAGCAAGCTACTCCCAGGTGTGTAGCTAAGACAAATCAATGAGTATGTCCATGTAAAAACTTGCACAAGAATGTTCAGCATTATTCATAATTGCCCAAACCATAAGCAACCCAAATGTGTACCAGCTGATGAATGGTTTTAAAAAAGTGTGGTATAGGGGCGCCTGGGTGGCTCAGTGGGTTAAAGCCTCTGCCTTCGGCTCAGGTCATCATCCCAGGATCGAGCCCCGCATCGGGCTCTCTGCTCAGTGGGGAGCCTGCTTCCTCCTTTCTCTCTGCCTGCATCTCTGCCTAGTTGTGATCTCTGTCAAATAAATAAAATCTTAAAAAAAAAAAAAAGTGTGGTATATCTATCAATGGAATATTGTTCTGCAATAAAAAGGAATGAAGCACCGGTACATGCTACAACATGGGTGAGCCTTGAAAATATTATGCTAAGTGAAAGAAAGCAGTCACAAAAGGTTATATATTGTATGATTCCACTTATATCCAATGTCCAGAATGGGGATATCTTTAAAGACTAAAAGTAGATTAGTAGCTTCTTAGGGCTAGGAAGGCTGGGAATTATTGAGGTGATAACTAAATGTACAGGGCTCCTTCAGACTGAGGGTTTCTGGAGGGAGGTAGGTGGGGGATGGGCTAGATGGGGGATGGGTGTTAAGGAGGGCTCTTGTTGTGATGAGCACTGGGGGTTGTATGGAAGTGAGGAATCACTAAATTTCACTCCTGAAGCCAATATTATACCATACATTAACTAACTAGAATTGAAATAGAAACTTGGGGGGGAGGGGAGAAAGAAAAAAATTTTAAGTTAAAAAAAAGAAAAAAATACAAGGCTTCTTTTTGAGGTGAAGAAAATGTTCTAAAATTGATTATAGTGATGGTTGCACATATTGTGAATATGCTAAAAACCACTGAAGAGTATACTTTAAATGTATGGTATTTGGAGTCTCTCAATAAAGCTGTTATTTTTATACGAAACTAAATGGGAGAACTAAAACCATAAAAATCCTAGAATAGAGCACAAACAGTAATTTCTCTTACATTGGATGCAACAACATTTTTCTAGATATGTCTCCTGAGGCAAGGGAAACAAAAGCAAAGATAAACTATTGTGATTACATCAAAATAAAAAGCTCTGCACAGCAAAGGAAACAATCAACAAAACTGAAAGATAATCTACTGAATAGGAGAAAATATTTACGAATGCTATATCCAATAAAGGGTTAGTATCCAAAATATATAAAGAACTTTTACAACTCAACACCAAATAATGATAATAATAATCAGATTTTAAAATGGGCAGAAAACATGAATGGACATTTCTCCAAAGAAGACATACAGATGATCAACAGACAGATGAAAAGATGCTCAACATCATTCATCATCAGGGAATTGCAAACGAAAACCACAATGAGATATCGTCTCACACCTGCCAGAATGGCTAAAATTAAAAACGCAAGAAACAACAGGTGTTGTCAAGCATGTGGAGAAAAATCTTTAAATAAATAAATAAAAATAGATGAGTGGATAAAGACGATGTGGTATATATGCAATGGGATATTATCCAGACATTAAAAAAAAAGAATGAAATCGCTATTTGCAACAACATAGATCTAGAGTATAATGTTCAGCAAAATAAGCCAGTCAGAGAAAGACAAATACCGTATGATTTCACCTGTGTGCGGAAGAATCAAAACAAAAGAACAAAGGAGAAAAGAGAACAAACAGATGGTTACTAGAGGGGAGGTGGGTGCAGGGAATGGGTTAACTAGGAGATGAAGATTAAGAGTACACTTACCATGATGAGCATCGAGTGGCCTATACAACTGTTCAGTCACTATATTGTACACCTGAAACTAATTTAATACTGTATGTTAATTCTATTGGAATTTTTAAAAATTAAAAAATTACAAAATAAAGTGGATGGAGTTGATTTCCCAGGTCTACCACTTATTTTTAAAAATAACTAACTAAATAAATAAAACCATGGCTATTAAAGAGAGGTGAGAGTATAGGCACAGATTTAGACATCTAAAGTATATTAAGTGAAAAAAAATAGTTTTAGAACCAATGATCACATTTGTGTAAAATAATGTGTATGTGTATACACATACACTCTCTATATATGTAGGGAGAGGGCACATTTTAATTGATACACTTTCATATAGTACAAATATTTCTTTTTTTTTAAATATTTTATGTATTTGACACAGAGAGAGAGCTCACACACAGGCAGAGAAGCAGACAGAGAGAGGGAAGGAAGCAGGCTCCCTGCTGAGCAGAGGGCCCGGATGCAGGGTTCCATCCCAGGATCCTGACATCATGACCTGAGCCGAAGGCAGAGGCTTAACCCACTGAGCCACCTAGGTGCCTATAAATGTTTTTCTTTTCTTTTATTTTTTTTTAAAGATTTTTATTTATTTATTGGACAGAAAGAGAGATTGCAAGTAGGCAGAGAGGCAGGCAGAGAGAAAAGGGGAAGCAAGCTCCCTGCTGAGCAGAGAGCTCGATGCAGGGCTCAATCCCAGAACCCTGAGATCATGACCTGAACGAAAGGCAGAGGCTTAACCCACTGAGCCACCCAGGCGCCCATATAGTACAAATATTTCACCAAGAAAAACACTTAATTAGAAGCATTTTTATCCGATGTATTTAAAATGTTTGGATATTGTTTAAAATTACAAAGGATGTTTGAAGTTTTTCAGAAAATTTAAATTATACTTGAGGGGGAAAAAATTTGTTATTTAAAAAAATCTTCAGACCTTATAAAAATAATTCAAAATGGATCATAAATCTATGTGTGAAATGCAAAACTATAAAACTTCTCAGAGAAAACCTACAGGACTTTGGATTTGGAGATGAGGTTTTAGATGAAAGCATGATCCAAGAAAGTAAAACTGGTATGTTGGGCTTTATTAAAATTAAAATTTTTGCTCTGTGAAAGACTTGTGAAGATAATGAAAGACAAGTCATAGATTGGAAGAAAAATATTTGTAAGACACAAATCTGATAAGGAACTTATAAACAGAGGAGATTATGCTGAGTGAAATAAGTCAAGCAGAGAAAGTCAATTATCATACAGTTTCACTTACTTGTGGAACATAAGGAATAACATAGAGGACATTAGGAGAAGGAAAGGAAAAGTGAAGTGGGGAGAAATCAGAGAGGGAGAGGAGCCATGAGAAACTGTGGACTCCAAGAAACAAACTGAGGGTTTTGGAGGGGAGAATAATGAGTTGGCCCAGGGATGGGTATTAAGGAGGGCTATTGCCTGGAACACTGGGTGTTATATGTAAACAATGAATCTTGGAATACTACATTAAAAACTAATGATGTATGGTGGCTAATGTAATACAATAAAAATAAATAAATACATAAATAAATAACTTGTAAACAAAGGGGCACCTGGCTGGCTCCAGTCAGTGGAGCGTGTAGTACCTGATCTTGGGATCCTGAGTTCAAGCCCCACATTAGATACAGTGATTACTTTAAAAACAAACAAACAAACAAACAAAAACCTTAAAAAAAAAGAACTTGTGAACAAAATGTAAAAATAACTCAAAACTCAGCAATAAGGAAACAACCCAGTTAAAAATCGAGAAAATGTTTGAACAGACACCTTACCAAAAAAGATACATAGATAGCAAATAAACATGTGAAAAGATGCTTAACATTATTTATCATCAAGGGAACACAAATAAAACAATACGATACTCTTACACTCCTATCAGAATGGCAAAAGTTTTTCTTTTAAGCTGACAATACCAGTTGTTAGTATGAGAAGCAACAGAAATTCATATTCATTAGTGATGGGAATTCTAAATGGTACAGCCACTTTGGAAGACAGTTGGTCAGTTTCTTTTTTTTTTTATAAAGAGGACCAAATTTTTGCAATTTTACTTTTTATTATTATTATTTTTTTAAGATTTTATTTATTTATTTGACAGACAGAGATCACAACTAGGCAGAGAGAGAGGCAGAAGCAGGTTCCCCACCGAGCAGAGAGCCCGATGTGGGGCTCGATACCAGAACCCTGGCATCATAACCCGAGCCAAAGGCAGAGGCTTTAACCCACTGAGCCACCCAGGCGCCCCTGGTCAGTTTCTTAATAAACAACATAGTCTTTCCATACAAGTCAGCAATCATTGTCCTAGGTATTTACATGATGGATGTGAAAACTTACACTACCCAAAAACCATCTCACAAAATGTGTTTACATTTATATTTTTATATTTTTATATATATTTATACATTTATACATATATTTTATATATATATTATACATATATTTTATATATATTTATACATTTATATTAGTTTTATTCATAATTGCCTAAAACTGTAAGCAACCAAGATGTCCTTCAATAGGTGAATGGATACAGTGTGGTATAATTGTACAATGGAATGCTACTCAGTGACAAAAAGAATGAGTTAGCAAGCCATAAAAAGATACAGATACACGGGCGCCTGGGTGGTTCAGTGGGTTAAGCCTCTGCCTTCGGCTCAGGTTGTGATCTCAGAATTCTGGGATAGAGTCCCGCATCAGGCTTTCTGCTCATCAGGGAGCCTGCTTCCTCCTCTCTCTACTCTCTCCACTCTCTCTCTCTCTCTGTGCCTACTTGTGATCTCTCTGTCAAATAAATAAAATCTTTAAAAAAAAAAAAAAAAGATACGGATACACCTTAAATGCATATTGCTAAGTGAAGGAAGCCAGTCTGTCTGAAGCTATACTTTAAGATTACATTTTTGTGAGATTCTAGAAGAGTCAAAGCTGTAAAAACAGTAAAAGGTCAGAGGCTCGGGAGGGGGAGTGTTGATTATGTGAAGCATAGCAGGGTTTTTTTTTTAGGGTGGTGAAATTATTCTGCATGATACTCTAATGGTGGATATATGACGCTATGCATCTGCTAAAACCTGTAGAACTTTCCAGCACAAACTTAAGCCTTAATGTGTGCAAATCTTTAAAAAGTCATATAGGAAGTTGGGAGGTTCCAGGATGGAATGCAGAATGTAACAAAAGCATATAACTCTATTACAGATATAGGAAACAATCTCCTTGAAGGAGATTGGGGGGGGGATGGTGGCTTAAGTATTTTTTTTTTTAATTTTTTAAAAAGATTTTATTTATTTATTTGACAGAGAGAGAGAGAGAGAGAGATCACAAGTAGGCAGAGACACAGGCATAAAGAGAGAGAGAAGCAGGCTCCCCAACAAGCAGAGAGCCCGATGTGGGGCTCGATCCCAGGCCCCTGAGATCATGACCCATGCCAAAGGCAGAGGCTTAACCCACTGAGCCACCCAGGCGCCCCCTAAGTATCTTTAGAAATGAGTGGGGTCTGTGACTAAAGACAAAAGGAACTGTACATGAGTACTCTATGGCCTCTGATAAAGTTGCTGCCTGAGGTATGGATTAACAATTCTGAAGTCAAGATACATGTATCCTGGAATTGAACAATTAAGTAAATCAATGGCAGATAGTGGGAGCCAGGTTTTCTACTGTTGGAGAGGACAGTTACAGGTAAGTAAGGCAAGAAGGCTAGGATGATCCATGTGGTAATGGATTCGAGTTAGAAACATCAGCGTGTGAGGGTTGCTGGAGGGGAGTGGATAGCTGGGTGCTGGACATTAAGGAGGGCATGTGATGTAATGAGCACTGGGTGTTATAAAAGACAGTTGAATTACTGACTTCTACCTCTGAAACCAGTAATACATTCTATGCTAATTAATTGAATTTAAATTTAAAATTAATTAATTAAAAAAGAAACAGCAGCATAAATTTGGGTGTAGCTTAATGTAGATATAGATAGCTACACAGAGAAATATTTATAAATTTGTGTGTATATGTGCAGGTTAGTCTACAGACATATTTTCTTGCTCTCAGCCAGGACCTAGAAATTACAACATGTCAGTAACAACAAATACATCTAATACTCAGGTCTTGGTCTCTAATACCATCCTCTAATAAAAGCAACCAGTGGCTGATTCTAAGTCTGGACAGGAAATACACAAGATGAGCCCAGAGTATCTTACACTGCCAGAACGTAAAGAATGTTTCAAAACAAAACAAAAAGCGCAATGACTGGGGGATGTCAAGGGGACACAGGAACAAACTGAAAGGGCCCCCCAGGCCCAAAGTTGGAACAATTTGAGCAATAGAATGAGGTAGTATTGGAATACATCCCAGTGTAAAATAAGTTTCCATGAGCTCTTAGTGACAAAAGTAAATGACTGAATAAATAAATAAATGAAAGAGAAGAGACAAGGTTCTCATGTGGATGAATTCTACATAATTTATGTGGTTATTCCACACTTAAGGAAGGAAAGCATAATTCCCCCTTCTCAAGTGTAGGCTGCACATTAGGGACTTCTTCCAAAGAGTACAGCATGGAATGGAGGAATTGGAGAAACTTAATAAACACTACCTTAGTCACGTGATTAAGATGAACATCAACAGTGATGTCAGGTTGATAATACATACCCTTGATACCACGTGAGAAGGGTGCTTTACCTTTGTGACCTTCCTCCCCCAACCTCTAACTAATCATGAGAAGACACCATACAAATCCTAATAGAGGGACAGTCTACAAAATATATGACTGGTACTCCTCAAAACTGTCAAAGTCATCAAAAACAAGGAAAGTCTAGAAGTTGGCAGAGCCAAAAGAACTCTAAATCAAAGACCAAGGGTGCCTGGGTGTCTCAGTCAGTTAAGCATCTGCCTTCGGCTCAGGTCCTGATCCCAGGGTCCTGGGATTGAGCCCCACATCGGTCTCCCTGCTCAGTGGGGAGTCTGTTTCTTCCTCTCCCTCTGCCTGCTGTTCCCCCTGCTTGTGCTCTTTCTCTGTCAAATAAATAAATAAAATCTTTAAAAAATAAGAAAAAATCAATTAATCATTCAAAGACCAAATCAATATGAAAATCACCAAGTGGGAACAGAACGCTCTAAGAGTGAAGGGCATGGACAGATAGATACGTACAATTCTCTTATAGGAAAGGAGGGGAAGTAAAACCCAACAAACAGGAGTGCCTGGGTGGTTCAGTTGGTGACATGTCTGACTCTTGATTTCGGCTAAGCTTATGATCTCAGGGTCCTGAGATTGAGCCACGCCTCAGGCTCTGCCCTGGACATGGAGCCTGCTTGAGATTCTTTCTCTCCCTCTGCCCTTCGCCCCCCAAACCAAAAAACAAATTTAAAAAAAAAAAAAGACAAATAACAATATAGCCCATTGCATGAAGGATACTTTACTTAACTAGACAGATACAAAATCTGATCCCTGTCCTTCATTTTCATTCTGACAGTTTTTTTTTTAAGATTTTTAATTTATTTATTTGACAGAGATCACAAGCAGACAGAGAGGCAGGCAGAGAGAGAGGAGGAAGCAGGCTCCCCGCTGAGCAGAGCCCGATGCGGGGCTCGATCCCAGGACCCCAGGATCATGATCTGAGCCGAATGCAGAGACTTTAACCCCCTGAACCACCCAGGTACCCCTTATTCTGACAGTTTTGATGGCTTGTAAATTAGGCTAATTCTTTCTATAATGTTTAAAGGAAGAATTCTTTTTAAAGTTCACAGAAAGGGATTGAACGATGTAAATCAGATTCCAAATAATATTCACATTCTGTCCCCAGTGAGGAACATAGGCTTACAGACACTTAAAGGTGGAAGAGACCTTGAATAAACCTACAGCGGCGGCTCACAACTGGTATAAATATGAAGTGTGGGACATGCAGATTGAGATATCCTGAAAAAGCAAATAGAATTTGCTTTTTCCTTCAGCTCCATATTGTCTTGCAGTGTCTCTTGCTGATGTCACCTGCCCCAGTGTCTGACTGTCACCTTTCTTTCCTCTTTCTAGTTGACTCCCTTATTGAATACTTTTCACGACCATTTGGCCTTCCTCCAGACCATTGCAAGGGTCTGTGATGTACACTTTCCTGCCACAAGTCAGAAAGAAATGTTCACTTGCTTCTGCCTCTGCTGCAACCCCTGGGCTAAGGCTGGAGAAATGAGCTTGCTGTTCTGGAAAGCATCTTGTTTACTGACTTCCATGTAGAGGAATATATGGTTTCCATATAGAGGAAGGTGGTTGGGAATGCATGTTGAATGAGCCAAATGACAGTATCTGACAGAGACAGATCAACATACACAGGGACAGATCATCCCGTGCAAGGTGGAACCACTATGACATAGTTACAAGAGGCTACTGTAGGGCAGTGTTGTCTGGGGGCTAGAATCAGTGCAACGTGCAAAGGCTGATACTTGAAAAGACAATTTATCCAACGGACAAAAGAATTTCGGGGGCACCTGGGTGGCTCAGTTGGTTAAGCAACTGCCTTCAGCTCAGGTCATGATCCTGGAGTCCCGGGATCAAGTCCCACATCGGGCTCCTTGCTCGGCGGGGAGTCTGATTCTCCTGCTGACCTCTCTACTCTCATGCTCTCTCTCAAATAAATAAATAAAATCTTTAAAAAAAAAAAAGAATTTTGGGCAGAGAAACAGAGCCAAGCACAGGTATGAAAAAGCCAAATTGGCACCCAAATAATTTAGGGTTTGGGGGTTGGAATCCAGTGTGCATATAAGAAAGTGGAAGAGGTTAGAAGGGCTGACAAGGGTGAGACCGTGAAGTCCCTACCTAGCGATGTGATTCTGAAGAGTTTGGCCTTGGGGCTCCTGGGCATTTCTGTCACTTAAGTGTCTGGCTCTTGGTTTTGGCTCAAGTCATGATCTCATGGGTCCTGGAATTGAGCCCTGCGTCAGGCTCCCTGCTCAGTGCGGAGGCTACTTGTCCCTTTCCCTCAGACCCTCCCCGGCTTGTGCTCGCTCTCTCTCTCTCTCTCTCTCTCTCAAATAAATAAATAAAATATTTAAAAAAAAAAGTGTTTGGTCCTTATACAGAATGTAACTGAAACCCGAGCTCAGGCTGAAGATTTCTCTCAGTAACTTTGGTTCTTGGAGAAATCAGTCTGTGTTTTTAGGGTTCTGACAGTTTTGATGGCTTTAGGCTTCCCAGGTTTATAGGCTTCAACTCAGAACCACTCTCGTTCAAATCAGCTTCAACTAGTTGTCACCTGTTTTCCTTAGAAATCCCTTGAATTTTGCTCTTTTCTGGTCAGAAAACACAGAACTCAGGATGCCTGGGTGACTCAGTCATTAATTACCTGCCTTTGGCTCAGGTCATGATCCCAAGGTCCTGGGATCAAGCCCCCGCATCCGGCTCCCTGCTCAGCGGGAAGCCTGCTTCTCCCTCTCCCACTACCCCTGCTTGTGTTCCCTCTCTCGCTGTCAAATAAATAAAATCTTGAAAAAGAAAACACAGAACTCTGCACTTCCTTACGCTCCCGTTTCCCCTCATGTTTGACCCCTCCTCCACACACAGTCTCATATAGAGCCAGTCTGTTTACATCAGGCTGTGGGGACAACTGGATATCCATATGCAAAAAAATGAAGCTAGATTCCTACCTCATACCATGTACAAAAATGAACTAAAAAGTGAATCAACGACGTAATTGTAAGAGCTCAAACCATAGAACTCTTAGAACAGGAGAAAATCTTCATGTCTTGGATTTGCAACAGACTCTTAGATATGATACCAAAAGCAGGAGCAACAAAGGAAAAAATAGGTAAACTGGATATCATCAAAGTTAAAAACTTTTGTTAATCAAAGAATATCAAGAAAGTGAAATGACAACCTACAGAATGGGAGAATATATTTGAAGTCATGCATCTTTTGAAGGTCTAATATCCAGAACATAAAGAATTCTTATAGTGCAACAAAAGGCAACCCAGTTAAAAAATGAGCAAAGGATTTACACAGATATTTCTCCAAAGAGATATACAGTGGCCAAAAGGCACAGGAACGACACTGAACATTATTTATCATTAGGGAAATGGAAATAAAAATCACAAGGTACTACTTCATATATACAAAGATGGCTAGAATTTCTTAAAATTAGAAGTAAGTGCTGGTGAGGACATAAATTGGAATCTTTCTGCATTGTTGGCAGGAATATAAAAATGGCTCAGCTGTGGGATTTGGTAATTCCTCAAGAAATTAAACATAGAATTGTCACTTGATCCACTAATTCCACCCTTATATTAGCCAAAGGAACTGAAAACTAGTACTCAAATACATATACACACCTTCCTAGCAGTACTATTCACATAACCAAAAGATGAAAACAACCCAAGTATCTAACATATAAATGGATAAACTGTGGTAATATGAAATACACACACGTACGAAGGCACACACACACACACACACACACACACACACACAGTGGTATATGTGGAGTTAAAGCTCAAAAAATATATGGTAAGTAAGAGCAGACACAAAAGGTCAATTTTGGAACTAGAGGTAGTGGTTGTACATTGTAAATGTAATAAATGCTACTGAGTTGTTCACTTTAAAACAGCTAGTTTTATGTGAGTTCACTTCAGTATTTAAAAAAAGGTAGCCAGCTCCCTAGACCAACAGGTAATCAGTAGAGGATAGGTATTGGAAAGCCTTTATTTTCCTTATCAGGACAGCAAATGGTGTAAAATAAAAAAAGCAAACTCCATTCTTCAGTAGCCTTTGTAGAAATACCCATCCACCAGTTTTGTTTCTTCTGTTCCTCTGCCTGCCTTTAAACATTTCTCCAGTCAATACCCACTACAGAAGAGTGGGTAGACAGAAGATAGAAGACTGGATAGAAAAGGCATAAATTGCCATCCTGTTAACTTCTCTGGCATAGGAAATTATTGAGATGTGATGTAAAAAAAAAAAAAAAAAAGTAAAAATGGGATGATGGAATCAACAGGGATCTTACTTCATTAATCCATGCAATTTCAGTAGAATTTAGAAAAGATAAGACTGCTACTTCTGGACTAAAGACGTTTGTCTCCGAATTCTCGTAACAAATTAACCAATTTTATAAAAGTTTGAAATGGCTGGTACTCAGGAATTTGCTGTACACTTTTAACCATGTTTATTCGTTTCCTAGGGTTGAAACAACATCAATGTCTTCTCTCTCAGGTTTAGAGGCCAGAAATCTGAAATCAAGCTATCAGCTGGGCTGTGATCTCTTTGATGGCTCTGGAGGAGAATCCTTCCATGCTTTTTCCAGCTTCTGGTGGCCCCCGGCCATCTCTGATTTGTGGCACCTTCACTCAAGGTTCTGTCTCTATCTTTACAGGCCCCGCCCGCTGTGTATCTGTGTGTATTCTCTTTTAAAAGGACACCTTAAATCTAGGATGATCTCACCTCAAGATCCTTAATTACATCTGCAAAGTCTTTTTCCAAATAAGGTCACATCCTGACAATCTAGGCAAACATGAATTTTTTTTTGGGGGGGGGGACACGATTCCTCTCACTACACTTTGTAAGAAGCAACATAATTTCTCTTTTTGACACAGTAAGGTTTTTAGAAAACTCTAACTCAAATTTAGCTTGGTAAAATTAGAATAATTCTTCTGGGAAAAAACTTTTAAAAAAACCTAAATCTTTAATCTCCAAAAGAAACTAAATTGTACTAACAACAAAAAAATTAAATCTCTAGAATTGAGTCCTCCCTTTATTTATTGACTAAGACTGATATAAGTAAATAAGAAAAATGTCTTCTCACAGAAACAAAGAATGATAGATTGGTGCTATATTATTTATAATTTATTACTTACAAAAATAACTTGAGCTTTCTCATCATAACAATTCAGTAAATCCTCCCCAGAAACCAAAAGACTAGACACTTACGATTTCTAAGAGAATTTTTAAAAATACCCAAGCCATAATATTTTTAACATTCAAAATAAATGTTTAAAAAATCTGGAAGGTGAAACTTTATAAATCCTCTGTAAAACATACAGTGAAAATTTGTTATGTGGTCAGGTATCAACTCTTTGAAATAACATCAGAGGACAATGTATTTGCAAATAATTTCAAATCCTAATTGATAAGTAGTATAATTATTTAATGTTCAGATAATTTTGTAGATTACCAAATTATAAGACAATGTCGGCAGACTGTACATTTTCCAAACTACAAGAACATAATCCACTTCCTGTATTTTAACACCCAAGGGAAATTCTTTCTACATTGATGAAAAGTAACTTTATTATAAATTTTCAGAAAATTTTTCTAATGTATCGAGATTTCATATGAAATAGTTATTTTTATTTTTTTTATAAAACAGCAAGTATGAACCCAGTGTAGAAATCTGATATTAGACAATTCCTTTGGCAGAAAACATTTAATTATAAAGAGGTCTTAAAATAAATACAACCCATAAGATCATGGAAAAGAAAGAAAAATAACAACCCTGTTATTTCCTATTAACACGAAAAATACCATCTTAGTACACAGATTTAATAACATTTTATACTACTGACAACCTGCAACACAAAATTCATTACAGTGTGGCCAAAATAAAATTGTTTTTAAGAGAGAGAAGAAACTTCTGGATGTATAAAATTTCACAGATAAATGCCAATATACACGATTTATATACATGTTGCATGTTGTATTATTCCAAAACTACATTTGGTGAACTTAATTGGCTGATCCTAATTTAGCGGGTGTGCAGTATTTATACTAGTTCAAAGACTTACCCAAGTTAAGCTTTCACAATTCCGATCACAATTATACAAGTATTTACACAAACATTAAAATAACCTTATTAAATACTGTTTGGGAGGAAAAGATGTAAGATTTTTGATATATATATGCCAACATTATCAAGAGCAGCTTTATAAATGCTTTTTATGTTTTTTCTTTAAAGAACAGAAGATTCGTTTCCAAAAAATAAGGTACCCTTTTAGCATTTTTTGTAAATATATAATTGAATTCACACGGAAGGAAAATACTGGGTGAAAAAAAGAATATGAGACATTCAAGGTTAAAACTTTTTCAGTTACTTATATCTGAAATAAGACAATGATAGAAACTGGGCTTTCAAATACTGTTGTTTTTTCCTTTAAATGTAGACCAAGTAGTATATAGACTATTTTATTCTAGGACACAGTTTCTTTGGAAAAAGAACATACTTGTAATTAAATTTCTGTAAATAGATAAATGACAAAAATTTTCAGAGCATGTCTTCAAATGGATTCTTAGCAGAAAGATTAAGGGTTCTCTTTAAAAAACAATTTAGAAATCTTGCTCCCAGGCAAGTAACTTCACTTATGTCCTTTGTTCCCAGTCTAAGTACCGTGTATCTGTAAGCATATATATTCGCCATCTTCTATTTTGCGTTATCTAACAAGTTGGTAGATGATGCAGTAGTGTATGTATTTTTAGGAGAAAACAATCCCTACTGGTTTACTACGTAATTCCTATAGTATATGGAATCTATTAGCACTGCAAACTTATAAAATGCAGACTTCAGAAAAACTGTCCTGATAGTTTCCCTATCAATCCCACAGGCTTAGAATTATCTCTGAAAGGAATGGCCAAATTTCTCAATAGCCTGGCATAGCAATGGTACTTGAAGAACACATCTATAAAAACACACTTATTATTCATGCTTGGAATATATCACATCAAATTACTAGGAATGTCTCATGGGTCAAATTGACAAGTAATCCATAAAAAGAAAATGCAGCATCTCTGCACACCACACTTCAGGAAGGAAAACAAGGGGACCTTATTATCTTCATTAGAGAATGGCCAAAGTCACTTTAGAAGGTCATTAGTGGCAATACTAAATACAAGGGAGCTTTGTAAGAAAAACGTTTGTCTTCAGGGAATGGAAATGTTTTATGGGGCATTCCTTAGCCCACAGCCGCCATGACAGGGGAGTAGCTAAACGCTTTATTGCACATCTGCATTTCTACAGTCTTCACGTTAATAACAGAAAACATTTTTGTTCCTTCCAAATTGCTCTTGTTTCTAGAGACAATTATATGCTAATTATTACTCAACAGAACAGAGAGCAAAACTGACAGTACTGCAAACACAACTGCAATTTAAGGAGCCAAAGGGAAATATGCTGGCAAGCTAAATGCTCACCCAAAAAGAAGTTTGCCTTTTTTAAAATAATAGTTTGTGGCGGACACTGAAAAAAATAAGACCAAAAAAAAAAAAAATACTCAAAGGTTTTGGTGCTCTCCCAGTTACCATGATGTTTTAGGGATAAACAGTGGTGTCTTTAAAGCAAAAACTTCATACTCCTAGCTCATGCTGTTTAGTATCATAAGGCTACTTATTAGGTGTCGAGATTTGAAAGTAAGACAAAATTAACTGGAAGCTACCTGAAGCTGCCTCTGATCAGAAGTTGCACTTCAAACAAATTGGACTGAAAAAGCCCTTCATGGCCTAGCACAGTAAGATAAGTTTTTGTGCTTTATTTATTCATGGTTCTTTTGAGTTGAGAAAAAAAAATTTTTTTCTTTTAATATTTTTAGATTAGAATCACCAGGGTCAAGTAATACACATATGAAGGCTTTCAAGAAAATGCCTGGTTTGTTCTAAAGAAGAGGCTGCTGATGGTAATTTGTTTGCTGCTGTGCCACTGAATGAGCTGGAACTGCCACTGGAAAGCCAGCCAGTTGTGGCAAACTGGAAGAAGTAGCGTTCTGGTAAGATGACATATCCACAGACATCCCCATCTGCTGTGTGTAAGCAGCAGTACCAGCAGCTGACTGAAGGTTAGAGTTCTGGTTCATGTAAGCAGGGTTGGAAACAGTGTCTTGTCCAGTGCTACAAACAAAATATTTAAAAGAAAACCATATTTACTTTCCACTATCTAGGTCATGGTAAATCATCATGAGACAATAAAAATGCCTATCTTTTTAAGTTTATATAACTGCTGTTCTGATTATAATTTAATTACTCCAACTATCCAACACTGTTAATACAATCTTTATATTTGCTAAGAAGAAAGTACTCAAAAAAACAAAACAAAACAAAATTATAAGATTCTAAGGCCTATTTAATTTTGTTTTCTCCAAAACCTCTTACTGCAAATGTTTAAAAATCTTTTGAGGAGATGCAGACTGTGTTTCTCACAGGGGTATCCTTGGCCAGCTACAATGAGCACAGAACCCTCCAAAGTACACCTGTGGACCGTATTCTCCCTTCTCCTAGGAGGAGACCGCCTCTTTTCCTCACATGTTCTACACTTTCCCTCGATAGTGGCACTTTCAAAGTCCCTGGTAACTGAACCTGAATCTCTACATAAAAATAATAAAGGAAGGGAGAACAGTGTAATCCACACAGGACCCTGAATTTACCCTCAAGATAGTCTTGACCTATATAGCTTGCTTACTAACACTAGATCAAAACAAAAAAAAAAAACAAGTTGAAAAATCACACCAAATTGCAGAACTCCTGCTTATTCCTATAATTACTATAACATACATTTTTTTTTAAAGATTTTATTTATTTATTTGACAGACAGACATCAAAAGTAGGCAGAGAGGCAGGCAGAGAGAAAGGAGGAAGCAGGCTCCCTGCTGAGGAGAAAGCCCGATGCAGGGCTCAATTCCAGGACCCTGGGATCATGACCTGAGCCGAAGGCAGAGGCTTTAACCCACGGAGCCATCCAGGCAACCCTAAACATACATTTTTTTTAAAAAAAGACATTAATTTCAAATTATACCAAATACACTGTTTATTATGAGAATTAATGTCTATACTCCTTCAATTTTTTTTCTGCATAACTTCTAGTGTCAAGCAGAGTAACAAAATTTTACATTTTAACTGAACTAAACACCAATGTGAACAGGTTTACTTAATTTCTGGATACTACCTAAAATTTATTTTCATGGAATTTGAGTGGAAAGAGACCTTAAATATCATCTGTCATGACTACATTGAAGGAACATTTTGTATTGTTAACCAGTTAATAAAAAGCAATATTTAAACATCATTTTCAGAACATAAGTGTTAGTATAAACAACTGGGTCACAGGAGTGCCTGGGTAGCTCCGTCAGTTAAGCATCAGACTCTTGATTTAGGCTCAGGTCATGATATCAGGGTAAGGGTCATGAGATGGAGACCCACGTTTGGCTCCAAGCCCACAAGTCCAGCATGGAGTGTGCCTGAGATTCTGTTTCTCCCTCTGTCCCTCCCCTCCAATGCTCTCTCGCTCTCAAAAAAAAAAAAAAAAAAAAAAGACCACAAATTCCACAGCTCAAAGGCACTTGGGAGTCAAAGTAAAGTTTTCTGATATTCAGGAGTGCATGCAGATACATATGCCTGGGACTGCTCTGCTAGGCTGATTATAGCAAGAGTGCTAAGTATATCATGGGCTTGTCCTTGTAAGGGACAGTTAGCTTTAGTTTGTCCCAGAGACCCAGACTATAAGCCATGTCTGGGCAACTATTTTAGTAGAGATAGTAAAGCCAAGAGCATTCTGACTTCATGGCATTAGGAATGAGAAGTTCTACAACTTTATCTCAATTATTATTATTATAAAAAGAAAAGTCAGTTTATTCTCATTATGAAATTCTGTGAAAATTTAACGTATACAATTACAAAATTAACACAGGTCCCAAAAACTTACCTTAAATATGGAGTCTGTGCAGGCTGTGTTGTCACCGAGGAATTGACATTTGGAGGCAGAGATCTCAGTGGACCAATCGGATCTGGTCCTATGCTATAGCTTTGGGGAACAGTGACCTGGTGAATGCCTTGACCCATATAGTTTCCACCATGTGACTGAACTGGGTATGTCTATTAAACAAAGAGAAAAGGTTGATTCACTGATTTCCCAAACAGCTAACAATATATTTAATACTTTAAAAGCCTTAAGTGAAATAAAATGTTATAGTTCTTTAGAGCACAATCTGGTTCTACCAACCTATCCACCCTAGTACAAAGTGGAGAACTTCCAAATCACAGTGCCAAACCTATGGAAATTTATGATTTACTTGATTGTTCTTTTACTTTGCAGGAGATGACATCTTTTTAAGCAGCAGGCTGGAATCCATCCAGGTTACCTATTACTCAAGAACATGTCTTGCTGCAGAGCTCCCAGGAAACTACATACTCCCTTGAAGGACAGCCCATTATCACTTCAAGTCACCAACCCAATGACAACCCTCTTCACCCCTATCCCAGGATGACTTATTCAACTCTTAAGAATGAAACTTGGAAGAGTAAGAATAAATGGTATCAGGGCAGGGTGCAGATCCTCTCTGGCAATGTCTCCTTTATTTTCTGCCTTCACAACAAATAGGAAAAAAGTAAAGAAGATATTTAGGTAAATGAGATGTATCCTCAGGAAACAGCAAAATGGTCTATATTTCTTTGGATGTTTTATGTGCCCTACCTAATGCTTATGGTATTATCTCCATCTGCCTACCAGTATAACAGTGCACATACTTAATAATTAAGTATCATACAGTAACTATCATCACTCCAGTTTTAAACAAAGCTATGTGCAAAGCAAAGACCATGGAAGGGCGCCTGGGTGGCTCAGTCAGTTAAAGTTTCTGCCCTCAGTTCAGGTCATGATCCAGGGTCCTAAGATGGAGCCCCAAGTTGGGCTCCCTGCTCAGTGGGAAGCCTGCTTCTCCCTCTCCCTCTGCCACTCCCCCTGCTTGTGTTCTCTCTCTCTCTCTCTGGCAAATAAATAAATAAAATCTAAAAAGAAAAGAAAAAAAGAGCATGGACATGAAAATTTAGCATGCTGGAAGTGCCAAATCGACTTTAATGTAGCTGCAATCATATCGCCTCCTTGGCCAACACATACCAACCCACTGACAACAGACTGAGCCTGGGAATGGACCTCTTCCACAGTGCAGGGTTCTTGAGTAGACTTCACAGATTTAACTCATGGTGTGTTACTCCAACATTTTCAGTAAGAAATTTTTTTCTAATTAGAATAGGAACTTTGGGGGCACCTGGTGGCTCAGTTGGTGGTGCTTGCGACTCTTGATCTCAGGGCTGTGAGTTCAAGCCCTGTGCTGGGTATAGAGATTACTTAGAATAGGACCTTTGAATATTTTAAGTGCTATTATACATGAACAGTATAGATAGAAGGTATGTGAAGAATCAAACAGACAGAAAGCTAACTTTTTAGAAACCTGAGTTACGCTTACCAAAACAGATTATAAACAGTATGCAACTGAACACAAAAACCTGACACAGGAATGATAAATAACCCTTCACACACACACAAAGAAGCAAATGTAACATAGTTCTATCATACAATGATGGAGACACTTCTATTTTGTTCCACTTTCACAGTAGCAGCAAATAAACTCATTGAAAACAGAAGCAATACTGAATAAACTCCAGCTATCTTTGCACCCAGAAATCCTTTCTACCCTCATATGCAATGATTCTTTTCTCCACTTTCAAAAGTTCGGGACATAGCATATTTGATAAATGCATCTTGTCTGATGTGACAGTTACCATAGAAACTCTTCATTTTTACTTAACAATTATGGCATGTCAAGTCATCTAGCTTATGCACCCACATTCTATCTTTTCTCCTTGGTGTCTCCTTCACGTGCTCCTTTATATATCAGTTCTCATAAATTAACATGAATTTTGTTCGTCCAAATCCATTCTGAATTCCATTGCTAACTGGCTGAAATTTAAAGAAGGTTTCAGAATACTTGCTAGTGATAAATATAAGTATTCATTCAGCAGGAAGCACAAAAAGGTGTATAGTCCTAGGAGAAGAGGCTGTTTATTAATGGCTTCTGGACCCTGCACTGAAAGGCCTGCATCACGTCCTTCCTGCACGTGACTTTTTAACATTTAAGTTGTGCATCAAAGAAAAAATATACAGCATGACCAGAGGACAAAAGAAGTTCACTAATAAGCCTTTTACTCATCATGTAAGTCAAAGAAATCTTGAGAGAAATTTTTCAAAGAAATGTTACCTCTTGGTTTTTGAGAAACAGGAACAGCATTGGTGCCTCAGCTAGGGAACTTCTGGTAGGTCAGGCACTGTCCTAAATCAGAGGACTTGAACTCTTTACTTAAGGGATTTTTGCTTTACATTTACAAAAGCAAATGAAAAACCAGGACTCCCATCATCTATTTAATGGTCTCTTTGTTCATGTTAAAAATGAACTAAAATTAGTTATAAAATACCTGTATCTCATTTGTCCTGGTGAACACTAATTGTTTAGCCCATACTTTTTGGACTATCAAAGATGAATTTTATGATTTTATACATGGACCATAGAAATTTTAATACTAAACTTTAAAACATTTTCTTTAAAACTTTTGTCTAATTTTGAAAAATGTTCTAAAAAATATGCTCACCTGCATTGGAACCCCAGCTGATGAAGGGGGGTAATGTGCCGGAGGATGGAGCTTTGAATAGACTGGATATACCGGTGCTTCATTCACCAACTTGTTATATAGTTCCAAGGCTTCCAAGACTTTTACATTCAATTCAGACAATTCTGAATGCTTCCTGATAGAGAAGAAAAGCACTTTAATATTCTTCAATGCTTTTAAGCATGTATTTAGGAACATAAATTAATTTTTAAATTTAGCACATTTTCTATTCATATTTTAAAATGTTCTTTATATACAATGAAAGAATATCCACCATGGGAAAATGGGAGGAGGAATTCCTTAATTCTTGTAATAACTAGGCTGATAGGACTTCATAATATTAGGAAAAGTCCATTCCATACCTCATAAAAATTCACTCAATTCGTAATTTTGGTGCTAGGACAATTCTGTTTCACATGTTATAGGCTTCTGTTAAAACTCAATTACTAAACAAAATAATTTCTCAATTTTGGAAGAACCCAAGCCTTAATTAAAATCTAAGTAGAAGAAGTACTCAAGGCAAGTCAGTAGCCTGCTTTGAAGCATGATATGACTGAAATAAAAACACACTCACAAACAAAATCACATGATTTTCATTTGCTTATATAGAGAATCAAATGAAAAAAATCTAATAATTATCCTTGAAAATGCAAATAAAAACAATGTATATATAAACTAGTCCCTACTGCTCTTGTTTGCTGGTTTCTTTTGAGAAAGTGAGTGAAATCAGATACTCTGCTGTATAAGCAATCCAGATAACGGCATTTTTCAAATTTGCCCAAGGAACCCCAGTGCAAATCCTTCTGACTTGGTACAATTTTGTTTGTTCCCCTGGGGAGTAATAAAGAACTTCCACTGCAACTGACAAGTTCATACAAGTTAGAGGGCACTTCATGGGGCACCCACGGCCTGTATGTTAAATATAGCTTTTTATATAAGCACAGAGAGGATCAAAAGACAAGCAACAGAGGCAGATGACCAGACACAGGACTACCAAATAAATGACCTGGACTGAATCCTATCAAGACTTGTCACCTTTCCTCTATAATGTTTCCTTTATAATGTTATGTCTGAAACCAATAAAAAGGTACTATTTCCTTTCTTTCCGGTGTGACTATATAAAGCAAGTCAAACTATTTTCAGAGTATCATTTGTACGCCACACAGAAAGCTTCAGAAATTAGTGTCCATGCTGATAAAGGTGTGACTAAGAATTAACCATAGGCATTTGGTCCACATAACCCAGAATACTGATGAAACACCAGAAGAACACAGGAATCACCTTCAAAGATTTGGGACACAACCCCAGAACAAAAAATTTTTACTAACTGTGCCCAAACACAACACTAGCACAAAGAAAATGGAGAAGATGTAGTTTTCTCCTTCAAAGAGACTACAATCTATTGGGGGGACAAAGCTAAGCACATGGAAAATAGCAAGCAATGTAAGATGGCATATAATTGGATTCAAAATTATATGAAAAAGGTAAGGAACAGAAGACTTTAGAAAAGCAGACTAATTTGGGTAGTGGTAGACTGAAAAGTCTTTATGGAGAATCTGGGACTTAAACTGGTACCTGAGGAAGGATAGATAGGCCCAAGCCAAAAAGGAAGAGTAGGTCAGGTCAGTGGGACAGTGTGAATTAAGACAGGCAAAAGGAATGAGAAGGGTACACAATGGAAGAATGAAAAGGGCAATTTGATCAAGGTGGGATAAAATGATTTTTGGAGGGCAACAGGAAATAAGCTTAGAATGTCTGGAATAAGGGCTCAATTGGTTAAACATCTGACTCTTGATTTTGGCTCAGGTCATGATCTCAGGATGGTGAGATCCAGTCCTGTAACTCTCTAAAAAAAAAAAAGAGTAATCTGCAATACTGTTAAGTTCAGACCATGGATCTCTCTTCAGTACATCTATATAACGTTTTTGGAGTCACTTTACGTGTCTGCCCAGTATAATTTCTTAGTGTGATAAATGTTAAAAAATCTCATTCCAGGGGCACCTCAGGGAGAAACAGGCTTCCCGCTGAGCAGCGAGCCCAATGCAGGGCCTGATCCCAGGACCCTGGGATCATGACCTGAGCCAAAGGCAGACGCTTTAACAGGCTGAGCCATCCAGGCGCCCCTAGGAAAAACAAACTGATGATGATCCATTCAAGGAAAAAAATGGTATTTTATTCATTTCTGAATGCCTGACAAAGGTAAACAGTCAATAAAAATTTGCTGAAGAACAGCAATTATTTTCCAGAATAGAAGCTGCATCTGTAGTCAGTGGCCATGGAACAGAAAATGCCAACTGGCCTATTCAGAAACTGAAATTGAATGAACAGGTGAGCTGTGACTCAAAAAACTCATATCAGAAATGGTCACTCTGATTTTTAACTGTGCTAGATCTATTTCTTTGAAGATATTCTTTTTATCAACAAAAATAAGATTACACTGCCAATATCCTCTGCTTTTGCATTACATAGTATGATATTTTTCCATGTCAATACTTATTTTTATTATTATTTTTAATTATTTTTTAATTTTTTAAAAAAGATTTTATTTATTTATTTGACAGATAGAGATCACAAGCAGGCAGAGAGAGAGAGAGAGAGAGAGAGGAGGAAGCAGGCTCCCTGATGAGCAGAGAGCCCAATTCGGGGCTCGATCCCAGGATCCTGGGATCATGACCCTAGCCAAAGGCAGAGGCTTTAACCCACTGAGCCAGCCAGGTGCCCCTATTTTTATTATTCTTTTTTAAAAGATTTTATTTATTTGACAGAGAGAGAGAAGACAGTGATGGAGAGAATACAAGCATGGGGAGTGGAAGAGGGAGAAGTAGGCCTCCTGCTGAGCAGGGAGCCTATGGAGCTAGATCCCCAGGACCCTGGGATCATGACCTGAGCCAAAGGCAAATGCTTAACGACTGAGCCACCCAGGCGCCCCTTCCATGTCAACATACATTTATCAATGACAATGCTTTTTACTGTACAATGTATAGATGTGTAATTTTATTTTTGAAATCAATCTTACACTGAAAGACGTTTTAGTTACTTCCGACTTTGCTATTATAAATCCAATTTTGTTGTTATAAATAATACTGCGAAGAATCTTCTAAGAGGTAAATCTTTGCATATATCCTTATATATTTAGTATGGGCCTGAATTTGCTGGGTTAAAGTATATAGACTATTTTTAAGATACAGAAAGGTTTATAGTGATTCTACTCCTAGCCCTAAGGTAATACTGACATTTTTCTTTCTAATCATTTCCAGTTTGAATACTTACTGACCATTAATATTCTTGCACTGAAACCACAGTAGATAGATACGTAGATATTTAATGCTTTCTCCAAAATAAGAACAAAAATGAAACTAGCACCATCATTTCATTAATTTTTTTTTTAAAGATTTTATTTATTTATTTGACAGACAGAGATCACAAGTAGGCAGAGAGGCAGGCAGAGAGAGAGAGGAAGGGAAGCAGGCTCCCTGCTGAGCAGAGAGCCCGATGCGGGGCTCGATCCCAGGACTCTGAGACCATGACCCGATCTGAAGGCAGAGGCTTAACCCACTGAGCCACCCAGGCGCCCCTCATTAATTTTTTTTTTTAAAACATCTTGACATTCTTACCCCCACCCAAAGATTTTATTTATTTTTTTTGAGAGAGAGAGAGACAGTGACAGCAGGAACACCAGCAGGGTAAGTGGGAGAGGGAGAACCAGGCTTCCTGTGAGGAGGGAGCCCGATGAGGGGCTTGATCTCAGGACCCTAAGATCACGACCTGAGCCAAAGGCAGATGCTTAACAACTAAGCCACCCAGCCACCCTATTTCATTAATTTTTGACAGGGATTTGTTTCTTGTTTATGTAGAAAATATAAAGGATTTATAAAAAACATCTTATGGGAAAAGGTTATAATCTTCAGTGACTAGAAAAAAATCTTGAGGTTACTACCCTTCTCTGATAAAGGCAGGTAAGTAAAGTAATTCCTGTTCTTCTTGTGCAGGGTTTTTGTTTTTTTTTTTTAAGATTTTCTTTTATTTGACAGAGTGCAAGACAGAGAAAGAACAAGCAGGGGGAGCAGAAGCAGGAGAGGGAGAAGCAGGCTCCCCACTGAGCAGGGAGCCCGACGAAGAACTTGATCCCAGGACCCCAGGATCATAATCTGAGCCCAACACAAACGCTTAACTGACTGAGCCGCCCAGGTGCTCCATCTTCTTGTGACGTCTGATACCGTAGTTCAACAAACAGAATCTAGAAAGGGATGATGATGGAACACTAAAGCCTTATCCTTGTCTTCCATTCACTATGGCTTCAAACAGAAAGCTGAAGAACCAGAAAAGACAAAAAGAAATGAAAAGTTCAAAATGCTGAGTCTATCCTTCAGTGCTGCTGCTTTTTCTAAAGAAGAGTAAGACTATGTGGGATAAGGAAATTAAAAGGACAAGAGAAATACAGAAATACAAGAAGAAAAACAAGGAGAGGTATGTGTTTGGATTCAGCTTCACAAACACAAGGGAAATTTCACTTGAAAGTTTTACAAATACTACTTTTATCACCTAACAAGACCCAGTCTTCATTCTGTGCTCTATTCAGCTTAATCCTCAGTACTCATTATCCCTCAGTTCCAGGCCAAGTAAGAAAACGAAGACTGGTACCATAAGAGCATGAGCCCATCATTCTAGGCAATACCATACTGCCACAGGGGGAAAAATGCTACCAAAATAAAAAATACCAGTTTGTAAGAGTTTTGGAAACTGAGAGACAATTTCAACAAATTGAACAGTTCACAACTCTTTAAAGTTTTGCCAAAAAACAAGTAATCCACAAGAAAACTATTCTTGTTGGGCTGCCTGGGTGGCTTAAGCATCTGACTCTTGGTTTCAACTCAGGTCATGATCTTGCTGTTGCAAGACTGAGCCCCATGTAGGGTTTTTTGCTCAGTATAGAGTGTGCCTCAGATTCTCCCTTCTTCTCCCTCCAGATCATGTGCGTGCTCTCTCTCAAACAAATAAATAAAATCTTAGGAGGAAAGAAAGAAAGAAAGGAAGGAAGGAAGGAAGACAGGCATTACTAAAAAAATTCCGAAGTATATTAGAAATGAAACCTGAGTTTTGGGTTTTTTTTCAGTTGTAGTGTGACATGGAACTTTACTATTCTCTGCATTTTAATAATATTCATAGATTTGTAAATGAGAAGGTTGTTTACTGACTGAATTATGATGTTTCTTGTTTAGAGCCATGCAAAGTCACCAGTTTCTATACACATTTCCTAAACCAATGCTTATACACAAAAAAATGTAATTTGTCTTAACTTCATCTTGTAGGAATCTTTCAAAAGTATGGTTTTTGAAGAAAATAATAAAGTATATATTTTAGAGCAAAGAAAACAAAAACAAAAAAAAAAAAGAAGGAAAGAAAGGAAGGAAGAAAACCATACATGTTATTCCCTGCACAAAAAAAATCTCACCTATCAATCTCCTCAAGTTTTTCATCTATCATTGGACCCATCTGTTGGCAGATATCTGTAAACACAAAAATAATTTTGAACCTTGAAACTTAAACCAGTTTAAATCAATTTCGACAATTTTTAACAACGGAACACACCAATACACAATACCATGCATAATACACAAAAATGAAGTTTATGCCAGAAGAAGGACTATAAAAGACTTAATTTTAATAATACTCAGCACCAATGTTAATATATCTGACCAAAGGCAAAATCAAAATCAAAAGAGAAATCTGACCATGTTCTCTGAAGTACTAAGTTTACAACTGTGAATTTTGGATCCACCTCAAAACCTAGAAAATTATTAGCCAAGTAAATGAACTTGAGTCACAGTGTATCAAATATATAATTGTGTACAGATTACAAATGAACATTTCTCAAGTGCTTAAGCCATTTTAAAATTAAACACTGTGTTATTTCCAAATGTAAACACTGATAAAATGGATAGCACAGTATCCTATATTCATAGCCAGAGTTTATTCTATAAAAAGATTTAAGACTTATCCATTTATCAGTTATTTTTCTCCCAAAAGATTTTTTAAAAAAAGGCATGAAAAAACATTTCTTTTACTTCAAATTTCTTGTGGATTAAAAAGACACATCAGCAGGCATCAAATGACTACATTACGAAGTTAACACCGATCATGTATAATTTCGCCCTTTAAAATCAAGAGAATTATAAGTAAGAATTTCTAAAACTTTGACTCAATTAATTTCATATGGTCTTATTCTTAATTCTGTCCTTTTCTGAATTCCAACTCTCTTCAGACAGTATCACTAGCGGGCTTAGAGAAAAATAAAGGCTTCCTTCCTGAACATGTTAGGCAGGTTTTTAACAACATCTTCCAAGTTATATGTTTACTATTTTATTACACTAGTCTGCTTCTCAACAGAGATCTCTTAATTTCTAGAAGCAAATACAAGGCAGAAGACATTTAAGACATTATAAATTGCTAAAATAGTAAAAGACATTAAATTAATCCCTAACGCTCACTAAGTACCTTCTAAATCCAAGAGGTCTTGGGAGTCTGGTTTTGAATCTGTTGGATCTATACTCTGGAGTACCTGCAGGGCTCTATCCATCTTATCCTAAAAAAAGTAAATGCACATTTAGAAACTCAAAAGCTTTCATTTCAATGAACATAAAAATTACTCTTACCAAGCATTCTCAAGGATAATAGGTTTTTTAAAAGTATTGATAGTTTAACTATTAAACAAAAGAAAAACTCTACCTCATCTATATAAACAGGCTCAGGCTCTGATTTCTTAATTTCCTCCTCCTCATCATCAATTACATTCAATTTGTCCACAGCTGCTATGGAAACAAAGTAAACTTTAAGTTCCTCAGCATGTACTTTGGTATTTTAGTCACTAATATGTAAGTAGCCTGTGATTATCCATAAGAAAAAAAAGGAAACCCTTTAGTCATCACATCTCATAATTAATACACGTTATTACATACATTCATTCACTCATACCACAAACATTTATTAGCCCTTACTATGAGCCAGGCATTGGAAATGTATCAGTTGAGTATAACAGACAAGAATCTCTGCCCTGATGGAACTTACCTTCTAGTGGAACAAGTGAGCAATATTAACGGGAACTGTCATTATAGGCATTTTCTGAAAAATTGAGGGTTACCACTAGGATGAATACACAAGACAGCAGAGCATAATCTGAACAGCTAAATTCAGAGTTAACTATATGAGCTCCTTCTATGCTTTCCTTGCTATAAAAATGTATTTCCCAAATGAACAAAGAAATACACAATTTCAACCTAACTTTGATAAGTTTTAAAGCCAAAGAAAACAACCCTCCCCTTTCATAGTGAGAAGGTTGATGAAAGATAATTTATAAATGTATACATCTAGAACACAACTTAAATGTTCACTGGAGTGTTGCTGTAATGAACTATATTTTAATAAAGTAAATTTTGATAAAAATAAAATTACAATAAAAGTCTACCTTGCTTCTAACCCAAAAATCTCATGTAGGACATGTGAGAGCTTTGAATGAAGACATTGTGTTCTGGGCTGAAGAGTACTTAAGGTTCCCAATAAAATGCACACCCCTCAGGGGAAAAAAAATCTCTATAACCAAAGGATTTTTAAGTCCCAACAATTAGCCACTTACTTCAAATATTTGGCTAACTTTCAAAGACAGCCTAAGGAGCAGACCTCAACATAACATAAGGATATACTGAAAACCTAGATTAGTTTTTATTTTTAAAACTACAGCTCAGGTGCTCTAGCCTATGCCAAGGGGAAATTTCTATATAGAATCCCCCAAGGATGGTCTTCTGAAGTTATTAAAAACAGCGTCTTCAATTTTCACAACTACTTAGAGATTCAGACTAGAGGAATAAAAAGTATAAATACTGGGAAAGTACTTAGTCTTTACATGAGTCTTCAAGTCTCTCAAGTTTACTTTAACGGAATGCCACTGCTCCACTCATAAAAAGATGATGTTACACGTAATGCACACAGCCTTCACAATTCAAGTTCTTTCTTTAACACTGATAATACAATCTAGCACGGACATGTCCTGCAGTGAGTCAGTGTAAGTACATCTAAGAGCAGACTGGCTGACTTCAGAATCATGGCTCTATCACGTACTAGTCATATAAACCCCCAGCTTCAGTTTCCTTATCTGTAAATGGGTAAAAAACGTACCTATCTCACAGAGTTATGAGGATTAAATGAAATAGTGCAAGCCACTGACTTTGCATAATACCTGATAAATGAGTACTCAAACACCACTGAACTGCATTATTTCTGATCATGAGCTCCGTTAGTAATACTATTAGCTGTTCTTTACACTCAGCAACCCCCATCTTCCTGCCTGCATAACAAATGGAAGCTTTCTCTGCATGGTTGACAGAAGATCTGAAGCAGGAACCCACTGTCTTAATTACCCTGCTTTATTACTTCAAGTTCCCTAGAATCAAATCAAGGTGAAGAAAAATTTAAAATTTAGGAGTACTCCTAACCCTTGTAATCATACTTGGCACTTGTCAACCAGCCCCCACCCTGCCACCTACTCCCCTTGATACTGTGGTTCAGTGATGAATAAAATCAGTATTCTTTATACTGAACACACAAACTACCTCTTAAACCATAATCAGGTTGAATTAAATATCTGCATGGTCATCACAGATTATTTTATGCCTTACATATAACTATGTACATTAATTCTCAGAGTTTAAAAAATAATGGAATTGACTTGGAGTAAGTTAACCCTTTAATTTTTAAGAAATTAAACTGTATTGTCTACAAATAATTTAAAACAAAGTTAAATGTCCATCTACTTTATATTCAAAATTGAACCAGGGCATCTGGTTGGCTCAGTTGGTAGAGCATATGACCCTTGATCTCAGGGTTGTGAGTTCGAGCCCCAAGGTGGGCATAGAAATAACTTAAAAAACAACAAAAATAAACTGAACGATTAAACTCAAGTGTAAAAAACTTTAATAGATTTAACCTTCCCTAAAATTTAACTTACCTGCCTCAGACTCTATGTTTAAATTAGTTGTTACAAAATTAGATGGGAAGAGTCCTATTCCTCTGTGATTTTCTCCTTTCCACCAATTGGCATCACTGAAAATATAGTACAAAAATGTCACTTGTTCCTCTACATTTTAAGTACATTACAGGTCACAATCAAGTCCCCTTTATCAACAACCTCAAGTCCCAACCCCACATCCAGCCTACCAAACCGTTACCATAAAGCTGGTATGTAGTCTTCCTGCAAGTGTATTTTTTATTTGTTTACATATACCTACAGAAAAGTCTATAGATACATTAATCATTATAGATTTTTACATTTTATATGCTAATACTTTCATATCTTGTTTATCCCTTTTAAAGATCCCTCATCCGAATACAGCATATTTGATTTATCCATCCCCATACAGATGGGCACTTAAATTCTTTCACCTTATAAAGACTGGTGTAATGATCATTCTAGATTCTGGGGCACACAAGCAACAATTCTTTAGGCCTACCCACAGATGTGGACTTGCTGGGCCTCAGGATAAAAATATTTTCCATTTTACCAAATAGTGCCAAATAGTCTCCCAAGTGGTTACGGCCATACACCATCCTCCTTCCCTCAGCAGCATGTGAGAATGTCATTTTCCCTCACGCTTGTTAACTGTCCAAGCCACACTTGGTATCAGACAGGAGAGAAATCATCTCTCAAGGCTATGCTCATTTGCACTTCCAGGGCATCCACACGTTTTGCTGGCCATTCAGACTGCCTCTTCTATAAACTGTTCGTTCATTTTTTCTGTCTACCTTTCTTTTCCATGGGGCTATTTCTTTTCATGGATCTGTAGGAGTTCTTTATATATTCTGGATAGCAACTGTTTGTCCGAATTATGCAAATACCTTCTCTCAAACTGTCACTTGTCTTTTAACATATGTTTATAGTTTCTTTTACTGCATGGTGTTTTTTTGTTCCATGTAATCAAATTTAGCAATCTTTTATGGTTTATATAGCTTTCTTAAAAGAAATCGTTCTCTATCCCTGAACTCCCAAATCTGTTTTCCAATACACTTAGTAGCTTTGGTTTTCTTTCTTATCTCTTCCCTATGTTTAAATTTTTTTTTTTTCCTTAAAGATTCACTTATTTCACGCACGCCTTGGTGGCTTGGTTGGTAAAGCGGCTGCCTTCAGCTCAGGTCATGATCCCAGGGTCCTGGAACTGAGCCCCACATTGGGCTCCCTGCTCATGGGGAGCCTGCTTCTCCCTCTCCCTGCTTGTATTCTCTCTCCCTGTCAAATAAATAAAATCTTAAAAAAAAAAAAGATTAATTTATTTTAGAGTGTGTGTGTTAAGTGCAGGGAGGGGCAGAGGGAGAGGGAGAGAGAATCTCAAGCAGACTCTGAGCTGAGCATGGACAGAGCTCGATCTCACAATCCTGAGATCCTGACCTGAGCAGAATCCAAGAGCTGGAAGCTTAATCCAGGCACTCCACTCCACTCTTTAATCCATTTGGAATGAAACCATATGTACTATGTGAAACTGAGTCAAAGTTTTATTTGTACTCTATAAAGAGTCATTCATCCCAGCCATTCATCCCCAAAATTTATTGCATAGTACATCATTTTTTCTACTGATTTTTGATATCCTATCTTTCAAACAGCAGGCTGCTATCTGTTCATGAGCAGATGGATCTGGATTCCATTCTGTTGAACTATCTATATATTTATTTACTACAGCTTATTAATATGCCTTGATACTTGGCAGGGAAAGTACCCTTTCATATTTCCATATTAATGCTAAAATTAAAACGTGTTCAAGGTCTCTGAAAAAAGTCCTATTGGGATTTTAATTAGCAATGCACTGAATTTATGTCTTAATATGGGGAAAATGAAATCTTTACAACATTAAAGTTTTCTTTACCCTGAATATGTGTCTCTCTCCATTTATATTTAATATGTCATAGGGGTGCCTGGGTGGCACAGTCGGTTGAGCCTCTGACTCGGTTTCAGCTCAGGTTGTGATCTCAGGGTCCCAGGATCAAGCCTCGAAATGGGCTCTGCACTCAGCACAGACTGTGCTTGGGATTTTCTCTCTCTTTCCCTCCACCTCTCCAACTCGTGCTCTCTCTCTCTCAAAAAAATAAATCTTAAAAAAAAAAAAAGAAGTTGTATTTCTTCATATCTTTCAAGGAATTTCTTAACTTTCTCCATAAAGTCCTCCCATTTCTTTATTAGATTTAGCCTAGATCATTTATAATTTTTATTACTATTGAGAATGGCAATTTTTTTTCTATTACATTTTCTAAATAGCTGCGATTAAAGTACCCACTCATTTTTGTTATGTTGAGCTTATATCCAACAACCCTGATGAAAAAAAAAACAAAAACAAAACAAAAAACCAACCCTGATGAACTCTTACCAATTTTAATAATTTGTCCACTGATTCCCTTGAACTTTCTATATGAACAATCACAGAATGTAGAAATGATAATTTTGTCTATTCCTCTCCAAAAATTTGACTTACTGAACAGACATTCCTAAAAATGAAACTTGAGGATGAATTAACTCCTAGGCCTCTGAAATACCATTTCATTTAAAAAGTACCACAAAGATGTGAGCTATATATCACCCAAATTCTTAAAATCAGAAAATAATTGATGTACTGACAATTCTAATATATAGATGTCTAATACATATCTATCATGTCTGCTGATGTCGATATAAAATGAGGAATTCTCTTACATGCTTTTTAAATTAAGCATCCCATTTTAAAAAGGACAGTTGAACTCAGAGGAAATTTTATATAAAACCAGAAAAGCCAAACCTGTGAAATGGACATGTGGATTTTATTTGAACCTATCGACGATTTTATGTGTAGCCTTCTCTAGTGGTCCTACTAATGTAGGATCATTTCCCTCCCAACCACTACTACGAACTCCCTAATGAAGCAGAAAAGTAGGCAAAACAACCAAAGGCCATGTTAAAGCATGACGACTCCTTCCTAGCCCTAATTCAGCTCTATATTCCCTCCACTGACAATCTGTTCATTCTTTAGAATGTTAATGACACAAAATACTGTTCAATTTTAAACTTCTAAATCAAGTAATTCAGCACTATAGTTTTACATAAATTATTTGATAATTATATGCAGCATTTACACTTAGAGCTTTTCATATTAAGAAAAAAAATCACAGCTGAGTGAAAAGCGATAAAGACAGAAACTTTACTATCAATTAATTGATTATACACCAAACACTTATGAAAACCTACCAAAGAGGGACAAGTAACATCAGGTTAAGCACTGAAGTTACAAAGCTAATGGAGAGAGTTTATGCCTTCAAGAATGAAAATCTAGTGCAGTATTTTTCAACCCTCCTGTTACTAAGAACATGTTACTTTGCTTTACCTTCTGGGATTTGTTTTCTCCTTCCCCCTTCCTCCCACCCAAGGAAGTGCCGACCCTCTTCAGAATCATGTAGCAGGAGAGACATATGTAGAGATGTGATTACAGTACAGTATGAGCAATGCTATTATGTTCAGGGAGCTATAGCAGCACAGAGAAAGAACTCCTGACTACTAGAAACTAATAACAGAGAGTAAAGGCTTCTCAGGAGACGTGAAATCTACATGGGTTTTGGATTAAACAGGCATTTGCCAGGAAGAAAAGGAAATTAGGGCTTTGGAAATATAAATGACATCTGCCCCGTTGCCATCATAAATAAACAAGAAAATTAAAATATAAACAGAAAACTTTGCACACTAAAAAGAAACAAAGTTATCCTGGCTCATTTCAGGTCTCAAAATAAATGAAAACCTGAGTCTCCCCTTTAGGCCATTAACTTCTCAAATAAAACAACTTATTTTCTGACTTTTGTTTTTTAAGATTTATTTATCTAAGAGAGAGAGAGGGAGAATCCCAGGTAGACTCCCCACTAAGTGTGGAACCTGAGTGGACTCAATACCATGACCCATGAGATCATGACCTGAGCCGAAATCATGAACTGTATGCTTAACCGACTGAGTCACCTAGGTGCCCCTTTGCCGACTTTTATAATGACAATGGCTAAAGATAATTGATGCCTTTTTTTACAGATATGATGATCATGTGAAAAAACCACAAACATACAAATAGTAAATGTGGAAATCTTGGTAATCTTGTGGGGGGGTCATTTCCTTAAAATACCTATTATTTAATTTAGGCAACCAATCCTACTTGATTATTTGGAAGAGCACATAAAGAACAAACAAGAAGTGGTGAGATAAAGCTAAAAATGTAGAAAGTGAAAAGATTTTCTTTTGGTATCTTCTTCTTCTTCTTTTTTTTTTTTTTTAAAAAGATTTTATTTATTTGACAGACAGAGATCACAGCTAGGCAGAGAGGCAGACAGACAGAGAGGAGGAAGCAGGCTCCCCGCCAAGCAGAGCGCCCGATGCGGGGCTCAATCCCAGAACTCCAGGACCATGACCCGAGCCGAAGGCAGAGGCCCCAACCCACTGAGCCACCCAGGCAGCCCTTTTTGGTATCTTCTATAAAGAAGAGATGTGTCCCTCTTCTATTAGCTCTGTTTCTTAAGCTGAAGTCCAAGAATGATGTATCTTCCAGGGACTTTAAGTTCTATCTATGAAAATTTTAATTTGTGCTTTCATTTTCACAGCAATACGAAAACAACGAATAGGATCATCGAGACGAACCTCCTTTTAACCGAAGACTACCATTTAAAGTTAGGATTTGTGCTTAAAAATCTTGCCAGTGATAATCCATCACCCAGAATGACAACATTTAACCTATAGGTGTTAATAAACAAGTCTATAGCAACTTTTAGATTGGGGTATTCTATCATTAAAATGACAGCAATCAACCTACATATTCTAGTATATTCATGCTGAATTCTCTTAGAAGTTATAAAGAAAAAGGTTCTCTTTTGCAGTGCTAAGTCTCAACTGAAAATAGTTTTGTAAGAGTCTAAGTTGTTCAATGACTTTGAGCTTCAACATGTGTGAAAAGACACATGTAGCCCAGCAACATAACCCTTCCCTCACTGCAAGCCTACAGACTGCAGTAAAAGTGTAACGCCACGTGAACATCCAGTGATGTGAAGGGATACGGCCTGTATGAAAGACTCACAACAGGCACAAAAGAAAAAGAGAACTGAGTTATCACAGCACAGGGTAGTACAGGCCTGCTGAAGATAAGTGATAAAGTACCTGTGTCATTACTCAGTACTCTACCTTGTAAGCAGCAATTTATTTTTTAAAGACTTATTTATTTCAAAGAGACAGAGTGCATGCGTGAGAGGGAACGAGCATGCACATGAGTGGGAGGGACAGAGGGAGAGGAAGAGAGAATCTGAAGCAGACTCCGACGGAGCAAAGCCTGACTTGGGGCTGGACCTCATGATCCTGAGATCACAACCTGAGCTGAAATCAAGAATCAGACGCTCAACCAACTGCACCACCCAGGTGCCCCAAACAGCAATTTATTTTAGAATATTTTCTCACTAAATAAAACACTCAAAATTTGAATCTTAGAGCAAAAACTACTCGTATTGTAGTTTAGTCTCTATTTATTTTACAAATTTAATTTCTAGTTGTATAGTAGTACCTGAAGTATACATTTAAGTTCTTTTGTAAATATTCCAACTAAAACACACACGCTAAGAAGCCTGACCTTTTAGACTGTGTTCAGAGCCCACACTACTTCTGCACCTTAATATTTATTTACTTTCATTCAGGGATCATGTGTTCCACTCCAAATGATTATTTAAAAAGAAAAAAAAAAACATTTAAAGAAGAAAAATGATTACTTTCTTGACTGCCTAGGAGACCTTCTTTTTCCTATTCTTGATTTCTTGCAAAATTTTTCCTATTCTGTCAAAACCAACGTTCACCTGAAATGAACCTTCTGGTTAAGCCTTCTTTCCCAGATGCTTGTACCTGGTACAAAGCTGGTCTCTTCTGGACCCCAACATTACCTCTTTAATGGCATTTGCAATCTGCATTTCATACAAATATCTATAGAGATTTTAACTCCCATTAGTCTAGAATTTATAAGACAGAACTGTGTCCTAATTCAATTTTTATATAAATAGAGCCTATTACATAACATATTCTCAGTAACTATTTACTGTGGGAAAGTAAAACCATTTTGTATATCTACTCATTTAAAAATGCACTAGATTAATATATCCTTACTAAGTTATTTATAACAGATATCAAATGTATCTGCAATCTCTGTTCACAGCAACAGGCTGTTAGGTATCACCCTTGCTAAATTTCAGCAGCTTCTTTTAAAAGCAAAGTAAAAAACAGAATTAGGCCCAATAAAGACAGATCTATCCTTTTTTTAAAAGTTGAAGTGTAGGGGTGCCTGGGTGGCTCAGTGGGTTAAAGCCTCTGCCTTCGGCTCAGGTCATGATCCCAGGGTTCTGGGATCGAGCCCCACATCAGGCTCTCTGCTCAGCAAGGAGCCTGCTTCCTCCTCTCTCTCTGCCTGCCTCTCTGCCTACTTGCGATCTCTATCTATCAAATAAATAAATAAAATCTTTTAAAAAATAAATAAATAAAAGTTGAAGTGTAGTTGACATACAGTATTATATTAGCTTCAGATATAAAACAGATCTATTCTTTAAACAATAGAGAAATTGTGAGGGAGAGTATAGTAGCGTTAAGAATTGGGGAAGAACTGAGCATAGCTTTTGGTTGCTTTTATCAGATAATATAGCTGGGGCACCTGGGTGGCTCAGTCAGGTTAAGCATCCAGCTCTTGGTTTCAGCTCATGTCATTATCCCCGGGGTTGTGAACTCAAGCCCAGCATCAGGGTTTGAGCTGGGCATGGAGTTTGCTTGAGATTCTCACATGCTCTCCTCCCTCTGCCCCTCCTCTCTCTCCCACTCTTAAGAAAAAAAAAAAAAAAAAAAAAAAAAAGTAATATGGGTGTATTTCTTCCTAAAGTTGTTTTCTTTCCCAGTAATTTTGATATACACAACTCCCAATGTAAAGGGATTCAGATGACTGAATATTTATGCTTCACAACTATGATAAGCAACAATATTATTTAATACACCTTTTATCTAAGATATAAAACAATAAAGAACACATATTACCTAGTCTAACTTCTATTTTAGAAAACAAAATTAAGGTATGAAAAGGCTCTATTATGATTTAGACACACCAAAGTCAAACACCTGAATATCCACAGGATTCTAAAGAATATTATACTTAATAACTTCAAAATATTCCAGAAATAAAGATATAAAACTTACCTGTCATCCAAAACAATAATAATTTCACCATGTTTAAAGGTGAGTTCATTGTCCTCAACGGCTTCAAAATCATATAAAGCTCTCACTTTCCTTGCAACTTTATTATTTAACTGAATTTCTGCAGAGGGATATAAGGATTTTGTTTCTGCATGCTGCTGCTTCTGCTCTTGCAATGATAATTCAATAGCTAATTTGAAAAAATGAAATGTAAAAAACAAGAGAGCCAGAATTAATTCTGATTTTTTAAAGTTTAAAAAAAAATGTTTAATAATGTAATACTTAATAAGAATAAATGAAGTTAATATTTTATTTGTCCAATTAAATTCTACATAGTTAACTTTCTTGGAATGTGGGAGGACAGGGCAGAAAATCATGACATTTTTTAAAATAAAGTTTTTGCTCATTCCATATTATCACAGTCTGTCATATACAGCAGCTATTATTTTTATAGCAAACAGATTGTGACATTATAATATGGGTAGCTTTCCATATAGGACAAGCCATGAACATATTTCTGTGCTTGACTCATAACTTTGGCATTAAAGAAAAGGTGAAATGAAATCTCTCCAAAGGTAGGACATTAAATACATATTACTGACAAGGATTATGAATTAAATCAATATTTTATCACACTGATTGTTTTCCTTACTTTTCAGAGCCTACTAGATTTGAGGTAAAATACTAAAAGTATACCCAGCTTGATTATAATTTTTATTTAAATAAATTCTTCTAGCAAGGATGTTCTAAGCGACACTAAATTATACGTGCTTGAGCATTTACCTCTTGCTATGTCTTCATCTTCTCTGCTTTTGTTCGATGATGCACCATTCCGGGTGGCAGCTGAGGCAGTCTGTAATGTATGAGTAAAATGAACACAGCCGCCGTTCCAAAGAAAACACAAGCTCTATAATTACTCGCACATGTTAATTTTTAAAAAACTGATGAGTTTCTTTTAAAAGTGAAGTTCTTTGTAAAAATTTTAAGTAGCAGTTTTCAAATACTAAAATAAAACATCGGAGTTCTCAAGAAAACACTATAAACTCACAAAAGGCATGGACTGGCTTACACTTTGCCTCCATCTTAATATCTAACACAGAACATGTCATAGAGAAAGTACTTAAATATGAATCTCTCCTGACTGTACTTCCCTGATCTCAACTGCCCAAGGTCTCTTATTCAGGGAGGGGCATCAAGCTCCATGAGAAGCAGCAGCAAGAAGCCATGATAATTACTGAAGAGAGACGGTGGACAGAGACAACAGGTGCAGTTCTAGGAATATATGTTAAGCTGTTATTGAATACTCATTGTACTTGAACCATGGTGCTTCTCTGGGCACAGCAGAGGACTTAGGAAGGTCACGCTTAAATTTAAAGGCACGGAAGAGGGGCACCTGGGTGGCTCAGTTGGTTAAGTGTCTGTCTTCCATTCAGGTCACGATCCCAGACTCCTGGGATGGAGCCCTGTGTTGGGCTCCCTGCTCAGTGGGAAGTCTGCTTTTCCACCTCCCCCAGCTCCTGTGTGTGCTCTCTCTCTCTCAAATAGATAAAATCTTTAAAAATAACTAACTAAATAAATAAATAAAGGCATGGAAGACAGAGATGTCCAGGATTCTGAACCATCAACCAGTTCTTTAGACATAGGTTTTTGACATGCAGAAGACAGAGCAGAAAAATGCTTGCTTTCATAACATGTAAGATTTTTGTCCCCAAATGCCCCCTTGAATCCTTAGTTCTGGTCAACTCTAAAGATTCTGTTCAGTCTACAGTCTAAATTAAAATAAAATATACAGTTCTACTCCTCTTAGTTTCTTTCCCTAGCCCATATCCTAATATTAAGTGGAAGGCAAGAGGCACTACAGCAAACTCAAGACAGTGTTCTTCTCTCACACTTAAACAGCCCACTCTGTGACTCATTATCCCTACCTACACCCCTGTCCTACTAAAGCTTTTCCCTATCTCCTAAAATAAATTTCAAGTCTTATAGTTCCACTCATCTGTATGCAAACTGTTCACTCCAGGCAAATTTACTCTTCAACAAACAGGTCTTGAGCTTTCTCAATTCCATGAATTTGTTCACATCATTCCTTCCCTGATAGGACCTCTTCCCTACTATCTACTGAAATGCATTCCAGTCTAAAAATTCTACCTCTTTACCATCCCAGGCTGTATTAACCTCTCTCTTCTCGCATCTAGTCTTTGTTACCCCTCCCTCATCTGTATGTGTCACTTACAATTTATTTTTCACATGTATATAGCTACCCTCCAAATTTATTATAAATTTCTTAAACATAAGGGCTTCCTCATACATCTATGCCTTTTGCATGACTCTAGACTTAGAGCAGCATTAAACAGATTATTTATGGCTGCTTCAATTCTCAAAGTTCTGATATATAGAAGACACATTCACTCAACAATTAGAACACCTACTAAATGTAAGGCACTATCTCAGATAGGCACCTGGAGAGTAGAGGTGGGAAAGGATGATTAAGACAGACCTTGCCTAGCTTTTATATAAAATATATACCTTCAAAATAGTGTAAGGTCAATCATGGATCTAAATGAATCTCTTACCTGAGAACCTGCTGGAGGAAAAGTAATTCCTTCTTCTTTCATAGATTTAATAGTTGCAGATATTAGACTAAACTGAGGATCCTTCTGAAATTCTTCTGACCACTCTACCATCAAAGACTTCAGTTTTTCACATACTTTAGGATGAGCCTTTTAAAGGCAATGCAAAGAAAGAAATACAACCGTGGTTAAGATAATGGTTAAAGTAAGTACTTGAATTATTTAACAGATTATTACCACTAAAATTCTCTTTAATTATATAAACATCAACTAAAGTTCAGCAATCCCTAGCCTAGATGCGTGCTTCATAAATACCTATTTTCATTTTAAGATAGAGTTGTTTCTTATAAAATTACCCTTTTAAACATCAATTTCTAATTTTCACTACAATGATGATCTTTTACACTCAGAAGTTATTTCTTCTATTTTTTAAAAATATGCTCAATATTAGATTAAGTTTTTTTTGTATCAATTAAACTAAAATTTCTGGATTTTTGCCACTAATAGCAAGAGAAGCTTCAGAGTTTCTGTCCCAAAGAAATCAGCACCAGAAACTCTATTGTGAAAACCTCCCCAGCTCTAAAATAAAGGTCCTCTTTCCTTGCCATCTCTAGTGTGAATCAGTACAGGTTAGTAGTTGGTTTGGACTCTGAAGTTCAAGAAACCTGGATCTGAACTTTAGCTGTGCCATTTACTAGCTGCATGACCTGGGATATGTTACTGAACTTATCTCTAAGCCTCAGCTTCTGCATTTATAAATCAGGAATGGTAAGAGAATCTAACCTCTAAGGATTATTAAGAGCATTAAACAAGACGGTATATGTAAAATTTTAAAAGCAGTGACTGCTTACTAACTCTAAATAAAGATTAGCTATTATCACTGGTATATATGCTTTGCAAAGGAAAACAGTTTTGGTGCTATGAATGAAAATACCAAATTTTAGAACAGGAAATTTATTTCATTTCAAACTTAGCTAAAAGTGATTTCATTCATAATACAACTTCATTAATGCTATATATAGTTAAAATGATTAAAATCACAGACAGTATATGTACTTTTTAATGACTTAAATTTCTTCTCTTTTTAAAATTTACCTTATTTTTTATCACAGCACGTACTTCTGTTGCAAAATCACGGGAACATACTTCTAAATGAAATATCTTTCCACAGTTTGCCACACAAGCCCCAAGAAGCTATTAATTAAAATAAAAATCAATATACAAATGTTGAGATATTATCTTACTTAACTTACTAAAATAAATACACATTTAAAATTTGGGTCAAATAATAACATGACTTTTACTTACAGTTAATGCTTGCAGAGCAACATGAGGAACCTTATGATTTACTCTCTTCATTATGGCCTTTAAGCAATCTTTTGCTCTAAGGGGAAAAAAAATGAAGAATATTAAGTATTTATTCAGAATTTCAACTTAAACACTAAAAATATAAGGCATTCTATTACCAAATAACTTTAAACTTAAGAACAAAATCCTGCAAACTTCACTTCATTAAAGGAATACATCTGTAAAATGTTGCCACATATTTTGTTCATAGAACTATGGAACTCTTTAAAAAAAAAAAAAAAGGAGGTGCTTGTTGCAAAGGCTGTATATTCCAAAATCAAGAGCCTAATAATTTCCCTTAAAAGAGAACACAGGGAGGGCGCCTGGGTGGCTCAGTGGGTTAAAGCCTCTGCCCTCGGCTCAGGTCATGATCCCGGGGTCCTGGGATTGAGCCCCACATCGGGCTCTCTGCTTGGCGGGGAGCCTGCTTCCTCCTCTCTCTCTGCCTGCTTCTCTGCCTACTTGTGATCTCTATCTGTCAAATAAATAAATAAAATCTTTAAAAAAGAGAGAGAGAGAAAACACAGGCAGCGACCTCTTTGACCTCAGAGGCAGCAACTTCTTGATAGACACATTGGTGGAGGCAAGGGAAACAAAGGCAAAAATGAACAACTGGGGACCTCATCAAGATAAAAAGCTTTTGCAGAACAAGGAAACAGTCAACAAAACTAAAAGGCAGCCTACCGAATGGGAGAAGATATTTCCAAATGTCTTAACAGATAAAGGGCTAATACCCAAAATCTATAAAGAACTTATTAAACTCACTACCCAAAAAACAAAAAAATCCAGAAATGGGCAGAAGACATGAACAAACATTACTCCAAAGAAGACATACAAATGGCCAACAGACACATGAAAAAATGTTCAACATCACTCGGCATGAGGGAAAGACAAATCAAAACCACAATAAGATACCACCTTACAACAGTCAGAATCGCTAAAATCAACAAGTCAGGAAACAACAGATATTGGCAAGGATGTAGAAAAAGGGGAACTCTCTTACACGGTTGGTGGGAATGCAAACTGATGCAGCCACTCTGGAAAACAGTATAGACATTCCTCAAAAAGCTGAAAGTAGAGCTATCCTGTGACTCAGCAATTGCACTACTGGGTATCTACCCGAAAGACAGAAATGTAGTGATCCAAAGAGACACCTGCGCTCTAATATTTATAGTAGCAATGTCCACAAGGGCCAAACTATGGAAAGAACCCAGATGTCCATCAACAGATGAATGGATAAAGAAGATATGGTGTATATATATATAACAGAATACTACTCAGCCACCAAAAAATGAAGTTTTTCATTTGCAATGACGTGGATGGAACTAGAGGGTAGTAAGCTAAGCGAAATAAATCAATCAGAGAAAGACAATTACCATATGATCTCACTCATATGTGGAATTTAAGAAACAAAATAGAGGATCATAGGAGAAGAGAGGAAATAATAAAACAAAACAAAATCAGACAGAGATATAAACCATAAGAGACTCTTAATCATAGGAAACAAAAGGGTTGCTGGAGGGGAAGGGGATGAAGGAATGGGGTAACTGGGTGATGGACACTGAGGAGGGCTCATGATTAATGAGCACTGGGTATTATGTAAGACAGATGAATCACTGACCTCTACCTCTGAAACTAATTAGTAATACATTATATGTTAATTAGTTGAATCTAAATAAAAATTTTTTAAGAGTCAAATAATTTCCAAAATATCAACACAAAAAACTATGTCATATAAATTATCTTCTTGTTTCTTCAAGACAGGTTTAGTGTTCACAGATAGCAAATTCTTATCTTAAAAACATAACCCGCAAAATATATAGTCTTCAAAGGTGTAGTATAAACATGTATGAAGGTACCTTGAGAAGTTGTAACATTAAATGCTTTTACCAGTCTTCTAAAGTATAATCAGTTCAGCTTAATTGCTGCATTCTCCCTCAAAAGCACCCTTATGTTCACTTTTTCATAATGATGTTATTATATTTACCTACTCATTATTGAAGGGCTTCTCCAGTCTATTATGTACTACATTATTATATTTATATACTTCATTATTAAAAGGCTCCCATACATGTCTAAGTCACAGGGGAATTCCCTAAATAACTAGTCTATTCATTGTTAACATGTGTCCACACCTCATCAAAGCTTTAGATATCTCAGGTTTTCAGCTGAACTCTTTTCCCCTTGTTCTTTCAGGATAAGGCTTGTCCCATAAATCTGGCCACCAGGATCTCTTAACTTTTGTCCCCCAAAAGTAATAGTAAAATTTTATTTTCCTTTCAAAGTTACACCAGAAAAAGAGACACAGGTTATTAAGCTCCTAGGCATGTGCTGGGCATTGCTGGGAATCTTACCCATTAGGAGTGCTTCCAACTTTGTCACATATGTCCATGATAAGACTCCAATCTTCTGTAGTGTTGTACTCATTTGTGGCTTTTTCTATAAAATATCAGCATACACAAAAATTAAGACATGTCGTATTTAACAGTAAAATACCAAGAAAGGCACAGTAGTTAAGAAGCCCTTTTCTTTTGCCAAATACAAAAGAACCATTGAAGAACTTCAGAAGACAGAGTACTTTTACTACTTTCAACTTTAAATTGTAGAACTATTATTATATGAATTAAATATCCTAAGGTACACCAATAAAACGTGTTCTAAATAGTTAAATAACACTAAATAAATTACAAATCATCCCTAATCCTATCAAATTCTAGTTTGGAATAAAGCCTTAATAATGTATCATCACTGGAACGCCTGGGTGGCTCAGTCAATTAAGTGTCTGACTCTTGATACCAGCTCAGGTCCTGATCTCGGGGCTGTGAGTTTAACCCTGTGTTGAACTTAAAAAATAAATAAATAAATAAATAAATAAATAAAATAAAATAAAAATGTATCATCGTATAAGGAAATATGGATTAGACTGTTCACAAAAGCATTGCTTTTGAAGGCAAAAAAGGAAAATGGATTAATAAAATACAGTAAATTCATACAGTGTAATGTGAAAAGAGTTACACAGAACTAAATGTACAAAAATATACAAATTGCAAAATACAGTGATTTGGCTTATACTGAATTTAAAGAGCTAATAGGAGAATATAAAACAATCACATAAACTTGGTAATAGCTTTACTGATATAATTCACATCCCAATACAATTCACCCATTTAAAGTGTACAATTTCATTTTTTTTAGCATATTCACAGACTTGTACAACTACCACCATTATCTAATTCTAGAACATTTCATCACCCTAAAAAGAAATCCATACCCACTGGCAGTTACAGCCCAATGTCCCCCCATAACCCTTTCCCTAGACAACCATGAATTTGCTTTCCATTTCTATAAATTTGCCTAATCTGGACTTCTCATATAGAGAGAATCATAGAATATATGGCTTTTTGTGACTAGCTTCTTTTATCTAGCAGAATGTTTTCAAGTTCATCCACGTTGATGCATATATCAGTACTTCAGTTAATTTTATTGCTGAACAATATTATTGTAGATATACCTTATTTTATTTATCCATTCACCAGCTGAACATTTGGTTGTTGTTTGGTTTTATTTCGTTTTTTAACTTTTTGGCTAATATGAATACTCCAATGCTGCTATGAACATTTGTGTACAAGTTTTGTATGGTACACACTTCTTTCTTTGGTATATATCTAACTAAGAAAAGTGCTGAGATGTGTGGTAATTCTATGCTTAATTTTTTTAGGAACCGGCAAACAGTTTTCTAAAGCAGCTGTTCCATTTTACATTCTCACTCTATATTAATGTTTCATATTAAGTTTGAAAATACTCAAAAATACCCAATATTCATGATACTTTTATAGGTGGTAGAAATATTAATATATGCATAATAATGGAAACATCAAACTGGAGGTAGGATGGAGGTATACAGGGACTTACTTGTATTTATAAAGTTTTGTTTTATTACGCTGGGCATGGAATATCTAGAGATTACTTTATTCTCAGCATGTTTTTGTGGCATGAAATATTTCCTAACTGAAATAAAAACTAAAAGTAAATTTTTTAAAAAGCATGATGAGACTATAATGACTGAATTATGTCGCATTTTTCCTCTTTTTTTTTTTTAAGATTTTATTTATTTGTCAGAGAGAGAGAACAAGTACAAGCAGGGGGAGTGGCAGGCAGAGGGAGAAGCAGGCTCCCCGCCTGCTGAGCAGGGAGTACAACGCAGGACTCAATTCCACACCTCTGGCATCATGACCTGGGCTGACAGCAGACACTTAACTGACGAAGCCACCCAGATGTCCCTACTCTACTAACTTTTATAAAATTCTGAAGTCAAGAAATACTTTTTTTTTTACCACTTTAGAAACACCGTTTAATCTTTTCCCTTTTTAATAAATTCATAATTTCAAATATGGCCAAATCTGAGTATTATATTCATATAGGCCTATCACACTGAGAAGCAGGAAGGATGGTAGAAATTTAGAGCTATTCCTTTTTTAAAAGCAAGGAATAATAAAAGAAGCCACAAAATAAAAAGGCTTAGCAAACTTTGCAAGTAGGAAAGAGAAATACAGAATCCAGTTAACCTCAGTTAAATGCTAGAACTCACTTCTAAAAATCATGCAAATTGCTTCAAACTATTAGTGGATGGAAAGCAATTATTGTGACATATGTGTTGAAATGACAAGCCAGAGATTTTAGAAAAGTAATATATTTTTGCCTACCATAAGTTCTAGACTCAAGCACCATGCTATGAGGTGGAAACATCTACCCAGGTCCAGCTTTTTCTCTTATACAAAGATACCCCATTCTTCTACACGGAAGTCCAGACTATGCTATATATTTTACAGGTTTAAAATACTTAACTATATCTTAATTACACATCTAATAAATTAATTGAATTCCAAAGTACCAACAAAAAAAACCCCACTCCTAATTCTACCAACTTCTTTTGAAACTATAATGCTTATCTTTCCAGACTTTTTTCTACATGTATATGGAAAACTACTAAAAATACACATAAAACCAAATAAAACAGAATCATATATAAGGTACCTCCAAAGAGAGCACCCAAAAGCTGCTAATTCCTTCTCTGCCAAAGTTATGAACAAATTGAGAAAACAAATAATAAAATATGACTGCTCTTACTAATAGAAGCTGTAGGTGTACTAGACAAATGGGCTTGCTGACAGTGAACCTCCGAGGTGGGCATGCTTCAGCACTAGACAGGGGCTGACCTCTCCCTGCATAGGTAAGCCCCTGCGTAGCTTACAAGATAGAGGAGGAGATGAAAATCACTCAAATGCTGTGGAAAGACTAGCTAGCTCCTACATGTCAATGAAGTGCATCCGTAGGGCTAACTGCTCTCAAATTTACCAATCATGTAAGTCATTACATCAAAAATGAAGTGATTTAAAGGAGCCAGAGCAGACTCAGTGTAACACTAACAGAATTTCTTTCTCAAGAAGGAAACCTCAGAGGTAGAGAAAAATTTCCCCCAATACTTGTCATCATCCTAGATGTATCACTTGCTAACCTGCATTTCCACTTACACAAACATCTATGTTCATAAATATGCACTTATACCAATACTTTTTAATAACTGCCTGCTGTACCATTATACAGAGAGTAGCCACAAAGTACCTCTACAAGATAGTGTGAAGTTAACAATACACTGTGATTTTAAATCCCTCAGCCTCTCTGTTATACTCACTGGTATTATACATATTGATGCCCCCACAGAATAAACGTAACATAATTAAAAGAGGTCAGGATTTCATGCAGAGGCCCTTCTGCAGATGTTGCATAGCATAAATACTTTGTCTACTGAATGTCTCTGTCCCACCTCTCTTTCTCTCCTCAATGCCCAGAATGAACATAAGCTCCATGAAGGCAGGAATTTTTTGTTTTGTTTACTATTATTTCTTGTGCATAGACCAGTATCTGGACCACACAGGTACTCAGTAAACAGTGCTTTGATGAATAAATGAATGATGGTTACTCCTCCATATCCTATTACCCTGGGCACAACGATGCCCCATGTAGTCCCACTAAAGTCTGTATAAAGTTTTGGACCAGCAAGAGCTTCTGGACCAACAAGTTTACTAAGCAAACACCCAAACGGGCTGCACAGGATCCAACTTCACTAGCAACATCATGTGGCAACAAAAGGCAATAGCACTAGAGGGCTTTATGAGGTTCCAGTTCCCTGCTTGTTTCCTGAAGAGGAATGACGATACCTTTGGGACTCTCAACCAAGAGACAGACGTTGTCAGTCAGGGAGGGAATGTCTCAAGAGGGAAGCAAAGGGCTTCTTGTGCTGTGATATATAGGTAACTTTGATCTAGAGTCTGAAGAGCAATCCCATGTTTTACATATGACTTGCCAACTTTAGGCTCATCTTTTCTTTGCTTTAAAGTTCTTCCTGTTTTTGATAAGGTTTTGTTTTTGCTGTACAGATCTATCATCCTTTCTATAGTCTCATCTGGTACAGTATTCAGAACTACCTGAAGATTAAATATTCACCCATATTATCTTTTGTATATGTATTATTTCTCTTTTATAGGTAAGTCTTTAGTCTCTCTGGAAATTCATTTGGCACATGGAATGAAGTAGGGACAGAAAAATATTTTTACTAATTACTTGTCAGTAGTTCCAATTTTAAGAATCTATCATTTCCTCTTTGATCTCAGAACCCAGCATCATCATTTACCAAATTTCGTCAGAACACCATATGCATGAGTACAAAGAGTTGAGTCTGATTTTAGACCATCTAATAACCTATTACTGATAAAACTGAACTTGTAATGACTATTTTTTCAATTTCAGCCTGTGATACAATTAAATGTGAAACCTATTTAATTCATACCAAAAACGCTTCCAACAATTTGAAAAACATCTAAATGATATTTTTTGCTTGATTTAATTTTTATAGAAAATGTTAAAATTCTGATTTGAATGCTCTATCCAGCATAGTTTATGCTCTACAAATACAGGATTTGCAATTACTCTTTTAAAAAAGTGTAAAATCTGAAGACTTTATAATGGCCTGCCAAAAAGGATTTCATTTTTCAAGCGAACTAAGTAACAGTTAAATTATGTACTTAGGAGTATTTTAAACTCCTGGAAAAAATTTTAAATATTATAATTAAGGAATCATTCTTGTACAGCATTGTCACTCTGCCCAGTGTTGGGGCCATACCTCACATTATGCTGTGTCAAATGCAGAGAGGAGGGGCAGAGTTTAAAAAGCCCTCCTGGGGCCTAAATGCTTAATTTCCAGGGTTTGGTGGGTGTAAGTCATAATGTTTCATCACCAGGTTTTGATTACTGCATATAAAGAGACTCAATACACTGAAATACTTCACAAAGATTCTAACAATATCATATTCAGTCCATCAATACCTATAAAGCACAAAAAGGCGCCCCCTCTACACAGCGGATTATGTTCAGCATACAAC